AGAGGATGCAGAGTAAGGAGAACACTCATCCATTGCTGGTGGAAATGCAAACTTGTAAAGCCACTTTGGAAATCAGTATGGTGGTTTCTCAGGTAATTGGGAATCAACCTACCTCAGGATCCAACAATACCACTCTTGGGCATATACCCAAAGGATGCATACTCATACAACAAGGACATTTGCTCACTGGTGTTCATTGTAACATTTAATGAAAATGTGGTACATTTACACAGTGGAGTACTACTCAGCAGTAAAATATCTTATCATTGAAAATTTAAAAACAAGAAAATAGAAAATTAAAAAAAATTGAGACAGGATCTCATGAATGTATCCCAAGCTGACTTCAATACTACATATCCAATACTGCTACAAAACTACATAGCTAATGATGACTTAGAACTCCTGATCCTTCTGCTTCTACCTCCCAAGCACTGGGATTACAGGTGTGCACCAATACAAGCAGTTTGTATAGCACTAAGGATGAAACAGGACTTCCTGAATCCTATGCAAGCACGATGCCAACAGAGTTATATGCTCCACCCTAAAATGTTCATTGCTATTTTGATTAAATAGAAAATTATGGTCTAATTAAATATTTTAAAACTTTTTAAAAATACTTTTGTGTATGAGTGGTTTGTCTGCATGTTTGTCTGTGCAACTTGCATGTCTAGTGCCCACAGAGGACAGAATCAGAAGCTGGTTATGAGTTGTCATGTGGGTGATAGGATTTGAACCTGGGTTCTCTGCAAGAGCACCTTTTCTGTGCTGAGTCATCTCTCCAGGCACCATGTTTTTGCTGTTTGAGCCACAGTCTCCCTCTGTAGTCCTGGCTGGCTTCAAACTCATCATCCTTCTGTTTCAGTCTCCCAAGTGCTGGGATTATGGGTGTGGGTCACCATATCTGGCTCCAGCAATTGACGTGTCTGACAAATTGTTCAAGGTCAGTTTTTGCTTTATTTTTAGTTTATTTATTTATATAGAGACAGAGTTTTATTATCCGAGGCTGGTCTTGAATATACCACATAGCTGAGGATAACTCTGAACTCTGATCCTCCTGCCTTTCCTTCACAAGCACTAGAATTACAGCCTTTAGCTAGTGAACCCAGCTCTTTCTTTTTTTTTTTAGTTTTTTTTGGGGGGGGAGGGTCTCTGGTGGTTTGAATAAGAATGACCCCTAAAGGCTCAAATATTTGAATTCTTGGTCATCAGGGAATGGCACTACTTGAGAGGGATTAGGAGGTGTGGCCTTGTTGGAGAAAGTATGTCACTGGGGGTGTTACTGGGCTTTGGGGTTTCAAAAGTCCAAGTCAATCCCAGTGTCTTGCTCTCTCTTCTTGTTGCCTACAGATCTGGATGTAGAACTTCAAGTTCTCCAGCATCATGTCTGCCTGTGTGCCACCATGCTCCCTGCCATGACAACAATGGCCTCAACCTCTGAAAGCATAAGCAAGTCCCAATGAGAGGATCTCCTTTAGAAGAGCTGCTGCAGCATCTCTTCACAGCAGGAGAACACTGACTAAGACGGGGCTCTCTCTGTAGCTCAGGCTGCAAATCTGTAGGTGATTTTTCTGTCCCAACCTCCCATATGCTGGAATTAACTAGAATTACTTACCAGACCTGGTTCAATATCACATTAAGACTCTTGAACTAGCTGGGCGGTGGTGGTGCATGCCTTTAAACCCAGAAGTTGGAAGGCAGAGGCAGGCAGATCTCTGTAAGTTTGTGGTCAGCCTGGTCTAAAGAGCTAGTTCCAGGACAGCTAGAGCTGTTATACAGAGAAACGCTGTCTGGAAACAAAACAAAACAAAAGACTCTTGGACCTTGGGACTAGAGAGATGGCTCAGAGGTTAAGAGCACTGGCTGCTCTTCCAGAGATCATGAGTTCAGCTCCCAGCAACCACATTGGTGGTTCACAACCAATGTCCTCTCTTGGTGTGTAGGCACACATGCAGTCAGAACACTATACATAATAATTAAATAAAATCTTAAAAAAAGATTCTTGAACCTCAGATTAAATTTGGGATGTTCTAGTTGGGCCCCCGGAAAGTACTGAATACATTCTGCATCGGATCAAGGACGTTCAAAAGTAGAATTTGATGGTTTAGACATGGTTTGTATTCCTCAAAGGGTTTTGTTTTGTTTTGTTTTTGAGACAGGGTCTCACTATATAGTGCTGGCTGGCCTGGAATTCAGAAATCTGCCTTCCAAGTGCTGGGATTAAAGAGGTGTGTGCCATCATGCCTAGTTCTCAAAGGAATTTTGTTTGAATCAAGGTTTTACTATGTAGCCCAGGTTGGACTTGAAATGACAGTGACTTTTTTGTTTCTATCCTCTAAATGCTAGGATTACTGGCATACATCTATACTGGAAGTTGTTCCCAGTGTGGCAATGTTAGATAGTGAGCCCACACTGAAATTGGATAATGGGGACCTTGCCCTCATGAAGTATTAATCTTTTTCTCATGGGTATACTATACTAGCTCTTTAAGAACAAGGACACCATACACAGTTGCCTTCTTTAAAGACCCAGACATTTCCCTTTCCCTGCCATGCTGCAATGCAGAGGCTGTGTGTGTGTGTTTCTCAGAGGGCTGAATGGATGTATTTGCCTAATCTTAGAGGCTTTGAGTCTCTAAAACTCTTAGCTATATACACCTGTTTTATCTACAAACTACCCAGTGCTAGCAATTTTGTCATAATACAAAACAGAAGAAACAACTGGGTTATGATTAGTCATGTTTTTCTCTTAAGAGAGATCTGTGGGGTCCCTTAAATAGTAGTGACTATTAGTTGAGAAACATATGTAGTGTAGGCACAATGCTAAACCCTTTATTCATTCTGATGACAACCTCACTGAAGATGTAAGCACTTCTCCAGTTTTATAAACTGGAGCACAAAACCAGGTCTAAGGGACTCCAAAAAGGTATCTGAAATAACTGTAATAAGAATTAGGCCTATTCCAACCAGCTTGATTTTTCAAGTGCAATTTGAGTGTGCAAGACATTAGCAATATCCAATAAGCACATTCAGGAAATGAGAAATAAGGGTAACTGTCCTTACATGTCACTTAATATAACTAGCTCATTTCACAAAATCAAATTGCCCATGCTTGCTCTGAATTACTGAGCTAATGAATCATGGTGAGACCTTTATTTATTTTATTCAATAAAAGGACCCATTCCAGGACTGACTTTGAACTCACCACTCTCCTGCCTCAGTTTTCTGACTGCTGAGATTACAAGTGGCTAAAATGGGTATTTTTTAAAAAAATACTTATTTATTTATTGTCTATACAGTATTCTGTGTGTGTGTATACCGGAAGCCAGAAGATGGCAAAAGACCTCATTACAGATGGTTGTTGAACCACCATGTGGTTGCTGGGAATTGAACTCAGGACCTTTGGAAGAACAGGCAATGCTCTTAACCATTGAGCCATCTCTCCAGCCCCTAAAATGGGTATTTTCAAAATAAGTTAAAAGATGCCGGATGATGGTGGTGCACACCTTTAATCCCAGCATTCGGGAGGCAGACGCAAGTGGATCTCTTTGAGTATGAGGCCAGCTTAGTCTCAAGTTCTAGGACAGACAGGGCAGTTACACAGAAAAGCCCTGTCTTGACCCTGCCCCCCCACCAAGTCATCTAATCTTGATTTGTTTCACTTTCTCCTCTCTGTCCCTTTCCTCTTTTCTTTCTTCTGTAAAAGGCCTTCTCTATCTTCCCCAGGCTGGCCTATAACTCCAGGGGCCCAGGGGCCTCCTGCTTCTGCCTTCAGATGACCTGGGAGCATAGGAGCAGAGCAGCATTTCTGATAGGTCTTATTACTCTTCCTACAAGGCTCTTTGCATAGGAATATTTCTTCTATAAAAATAAGTTAACAAGTGATTGCTCTGACACAGTTTTACAATCTCTTAAGTCATTGTACATTGGTCAGTAAGAGATGATAGGAGGGAGGTTTCCAAATGTATTTTTCTAAAGGTGGCCCAGCACTGTTGAAAGGCAAAGAAAATACTCTTTTGTAAGGAACAAATGCTGGACAGTTTCATGACAGACGTGTAAATAGTGCACATATGAATCCAAACAATTAATATGTGCTCTCAATATACTTGAATTATTATGTATGCTATTATGTAATATACTTGGATCATTACTTATATGCACTATGGGGTCAGACAGATCTGGGATTGGATCTAGACTTTACCACTTACTAGCCATATGACCCTTAAAAAACTCTTGTCCTCACCTTCAAATTTGTCATAAAAAGTGGAGACCTATGTTAGGGCTGTTGTGTGAATTAGAACTTCACAACTGAAATCCTAGCTAAAGTGGGCCGAGCTCCTGGAGTCCAGTCGAAGAGCAGGAGGAGAGATAATATGAGCAAAGGGATCAAGATTGTGGATTGGGACATACACAGAGACATCTGACCCGAGCTAGGGGGAGCTCACTGACTTAGGACTGACAACTAGGGAACCTGCTTGTGGGTGACAATTGTGTGGCTTTACCAGTTTGTGGGGTCACTGGCAGTGGGATCAGGATTTATCCTTAGTGCATAAACTGGCTTTCTGGAGCCCATTCCCCTATGGAGGGACACTTTGCTCAGCCTAGATACAGGGGGAGGGGATTGGTCCTGCCTCTATGTGGTTATATGACAGATTTTGTTGACTACCCAGGAGGCCTTACCCTCTGAGGAGTGGATGGGGGTGGAGAGGGCAGAGGATGGAGAGATTAGAAGGGGAGGGAGGGAGAACTGGGACTGGTATGTAAAATAAAGATGTTTTTAATTTTTTTTTAAAAAGAAACCCTAGCTAATACAGAAGGTTACAACTCTTGTTCATTTGCAAATGTGGAGAAGGGAGGCCCACTAGAAAAGCATTAGCATTGCATGTAAATCAACAGGTACCACATGGCTGAGACAGGTTTCCCCCACCCCAAAGCCCTGTAAGACTAAAATTTCATAAATCTGCTAAATTATATTTGATAAAGAACCATTTTAAGCCAGATGACTGCAGTAGCTGACAGAATTTTAATAAGGTGACATAGTCATTAAACACAGCCTTTATTTTTGTTTCAAAACAAAATTCCAGGAAACGAAATACTTAACAATAGTTGGGTAAAAATTAAAATAAAAATCACAGTTTCGAAGAATCAAAACCAGACAACTGCTGAAAGGTAGATCACTTGGCTTACCAAAAAAAAAAAAAAAAGGAAAAAAAGAAAAGGTAATGTTAAAAGGGCTAAAATTAAATTGAACAGCATTCTATATAATGCTACATTCCCGAATTAAGAAAGGAGAGTTCACATATATAACTAAATGTTAAGTATTGAGAATTGGCTGAAATTCTACACACTTCATGGTAAATATGCATGAAAGTTTAATTGCATAAACTTCCTGAGTGGCTCCCATGCTGCATTAGGTCTACATGCTTAATATTTGTATTAAACAAATTATAGCTTTAAGTGATTGAGCATGACAGACCTTCAACTGCACTTTCTCATCAATCACTATATCCACTGTATCTGCTGAGGGTTCTGAGCTACAAATCTCAATCTTAAATCTTAAATTATATCGAAAGAAATACAACGTAAAAAAGCTAGAAGGGTGACTAGTGTGCATTTTAGAGCATTGTCCCTTCAGAACTTAGTCCTTCCCTTGCCCTCTTGCCTGACTTCTGGCTTTGTAACAGTCTGCATTGTTTTACTTCAGAGAAAACCTTCCAGAATCTGAGCTGTTGATCTGTACACTCTTTCAACCATCTCAGTGAAAAGAACTTTAACCTGGTTACTACATTGGGCCCATTTATGTTAGTCATCAAGGTCCCTGGATCAATGTTTGAATTTATCCTTCATACACACACAAAAAAAGACTATTTCCAGGGTGGCCTGAGAGTACAGCTCCATACAAATTGCATACTAATTTTACTTAGAAGAATTTTTTACTATGATTGAGTGTTTTCATTTTATAATCTGGATTAGATTTTAAAATTTTAACCCTAGAATTATAGTTACCAAATCAAAAGCCTTTTCTATACATACAAACCTTTTTATTACATCTTCTAAAGAAAGGGAGGCAAAATAAGTCCTTGGTAAACTATCAATAAAAAAACCCAACCAATCTATTCTAGAAAATGGCTTGCATACCACCTCAGTAGGCTCAGATTTTTCTTAATCAAACAGAACATGAGGTAACTGAATTGATGGCAACTATACCTCAGAAATGTACTTAGAAACGATGACTGAAATACAGCATTTACTACTATTAAAAATGTACTGTTACATGGTAAACATGTGAAACAGGAAATATCCAGTTACAAACATTTGCTGGGTTCTTTTAAAGGGGGGAAAGGGAATTTTTAATGCTTAGAAAATACAGCAAAGAGAGTCAACTCCATAGACTACAGGGATTAGATAAGCAACTATCTAAACCCTTACTACCAATTATGATTCAAATGAAATGAATTCTGCCATTTCAAGATAACAAAGTGTCACTGTAAATACCAGGCAATATTTTGAAGATGGGTCACTGCCTAGGAGGTCAAGTATTTCACTGTGGTAGTTAAAGCAATTTCAACCCATAGCCCTTTAGAAGCTGAGATGAGAAAGCATCCTCAGGCACTGGGACTATCTCACTTCAATACATTTGAAGCATTTGTTTATTTGAAAACTAACTCCCACCACTAAGTCTTATATTGCCACCAATTTGATTTCTCTCTTTGCTTTCCATCCCCCAATCCCCTAACTTTGTAACACTTAGGTATATGGCTCTCATCACTTCAACACAGACTGGTGGTAGAATGATGGTTCCTCTCATCTCACATGCATGGTGAGTGCTAGGATGAAAAGGCAAGCCAGATTGAGAATCTAAACAACATAAAGAATCAAAGCAAAAGAGCAAGTTTCACAGGCAACATTTACTTGTGCACCTAAAACAGTACTGAAAAACGAGGTAGATAAACAAAAGTAACTGGACTGCAATTAAATCTGGGGTCTTCAGATGACAAACATTCCATTATAACTTTAGAAAAACACTCTACACTCAATCCAAAAATCACAGCGGAAGTGCCTTTTAAACTTTCACAGTTAAGTTTTCCTGTCAAACTATTAGAACGTATGCTTGATATGAAGCAAGGAAGAGATGAAAAACTGCAGGGATATTTGTTAACTTACAGCAAATTATTTTAGATTCAAGACTGCTCCAGGTATATGAATGGTTTATCTGCACTGAATACACCAGTAATGGTTTCACAGTCTTAGGATGTTACACCCAACTTCACAGACACAACAGCAATGCTTCATGGTGGAGTGCTTATGTTGCCATACATGAAGACACAATGCTGCTCATCAGATGTGCACTTGGAGAAGTAAACAGAGCGGCTGGACATACAGACTATCTCCCGAGAAAACTTCACAAGACAGTGGTTAAGTACAACCTTTACGTTGATTACAAGAAAGAAAATGAAAAGGTTTGTGTGCTTTCTAGAAATGAACAGAAGGCCCATTATATGCACTTCTAGAAATGAACAGAAGGCATGTTATATGTACTAGGCTCTTTGTTAAAGAGAACTTCTGAGCATTATCTGATTCATTTATGGGAGAGAAAAAGTATTTCAGGCAAGGATGGAAACAGCACTATTCTAACTTAGCAAAATTAAGAAATAATACAAATCCCCCTCTAGAAAACTAACCAATATTTACAATCAAAGTGACTATAATCTGAATCAAACAAAAAATAAGAAAAAGTAAAGAAAACCCCACAGCAAAGTGAATAACATTGTTTTCTTCATTTCTGCACACTCCCTTTTTCTGTATGCTTTAACTTCTACACATTACACATACATAATGTATATGTAACATATATGTTAACCCAGATACTGCAGTCAGCATGGAGACAGCAGTACACTATTCCCCATCTTCAAACTTTAGAAGATGACTTTTCTTTCCAGCAAAACCTGAAAAGATTCTAAATATTACAAGGCACTGCAAACATCTGCAGGCAAACAATAATGATGAATTATATGTAAAACTGAGATGTTTAACAAAACACAGAACATACTATGTAGAGCAGCCACTAGTAAATGGGATTGTACATGTATGTAACCCATGGAGTTTTTTTCATTCTGGGGTACACTGTTTAAAATGATTGCAACTAGAGAAGATCCCATCTTAAAACCTGCACTATTTCACCTTATAGGTTGTTTATCTCAATATAATTATACAAAACCAACTTATAATGAAACACAGACAGTTTTAAGGAACTATGGGTTTTAGGAGCATAGTTTTGTACATATGGAAAACACTGCAATGCAAGAAACTGCACTACATTAACATCCTAAAAATCACTTCAACTTGCAAAGCAATACTATAGAAGGAATTTCAGGAATCGGGGCGTATAATCTGGACTCATCCAAAACAGGATGTCTTAGGAAAAGGAATTGTGGCTCTTACCAATAGCAATCCACAGAATGCCCCCAGTAACCATGACAAAAATGTGATGGTGGGTGTGATATTTAGGTAAGTAATATAAGACAACTTCTTAAAAAGTGTACTGACTGTCATAAAGTGTACTGTATGAAATAAAAAGAAAAGTTCTTCTAGCTTCCCGGCAAGCCCATGGGGTAAGATTTTTAGAGGAATATGGAGGAAAATCTGTTAACAGAAACATTGAACACAATTTGGAATGGTTACCAAGAGAATTCTTAAATAGAAAAACGTATTAGAAACGACTTTCAAAGCTTCAGTGAATGTTAAGTCACTTGAACATGTGTATTTAGTAGCTGATAATATAGCATGTAAGAATTCTATTTGGGTTTCACAGACTGAATATTAGGTAACCCTGTGACTAGCCTTTAAGATTACTGAAGTTAACCTTCCTAAAAACCAAAGGCGTACATTTTGACACTGCCTCCTTTCCTCCTAAAACTGGATAAAACCCAGTAAAGTGCAACTTGACAGTGAATTCTCTCAAATTTTCAAGAGGCTGACAAACACATCTAACATCTAACATCTAAAATGGTCTAAGACTATAGATATTAGTAAGAAATTATAACAACCAAAAAACTGTCATCAAAAAAGGTTAAAGGCAATTTAAATAATATCATCCTAGGGTGTACTATTTCACTGCAGGATGGTGTGTATCCTACATTTCTTAGAACCCTGTAAAGCCAGTGTTTTATGTAAAAGTCTCAAAAGCTACAAACCCTAATGTGTCAAGTACATTTCACTTTAGAAGAATGGATTGACAGAAGTGTTAACCCGAATCTCCTTGTTTAGGATTACAAGGATTACCCCAAATGAGATTCACATCAGCTGCAATACCTAGCAAAAGAATGCAAGCCAAGTCAGTGCCTCTCAGATGCTCAAAACCAAAGCAGTGTGCACATGAGAAAAGATGGCTGCTTTGGGTTATTACTGGAACCCAAAAGCAGCTCTAGTAGCTGTAGGTTCAAGGAACTGTTACAGTTCTGATTTTTTCTTTCCCTCCGCCTCACCTAAAACAACCCCTTACTCCGACTGCTGTGATGACGGGAAGAAAATCACATTAAAAACACTCATGTTCTGTACTGCTTGACAAAAGGATACTAAAGTTATACATCAAAACATTTCCTGCAGCCAGTTACTTACTGCCTTCTGTGAAAAGTAAACCCAAGACAGTTGTGACAAATCCCACAAGACTGGCGATTGGAGAGTCTTACCTCATCCACATTTGGGGAGAACCAATCTACATAGTTTTTACACACTTTAAAGAAAAGTATTATACAACTGCTGGTAGCAGCATAAAAAAGTGGGGCGAGAGCTTCTCAGCAACACATGAAAGTGTCCTGGAAATGGTAACACTCAAACTGAGCTTATTAAAGCATTCTGAACAGTATTTTTTAAAAATCAAGTATCAAAGAGGATAGGATTTGAAGTGAAAAACATTTGTGTGGAGTATTCTATGTGCAAAGTGCACATTACTACAGAATGATGAGCTGTACCAAATATCACATTGGAACAACAAAAAACACAGTTGAAAGTGGGCTCAAATGAGAGAAAATATGGCAGAACTCAAGAAGAAAGTTTAGTATCATAGGTGTTTTGATGAAAGTCCTCTCCCCTTGTTTCAGCATCTATTTGGATTCATTTAGGACCAGGAGGGATTGATGCCGGATTCTGTATTGGTGAAGCTGGAAATGCCTGCAAATTCATCCCGGGCTGGAAGAGTCCCCCAGATTGGGCAGGAACCACTACAGACTGCTGTGCTGTTCCCGAAATTCCTACCCACTGTACTGGATACCCCGTGGCCCCTACAGCATTATACTGACAAACATGGGGCATTCCGTATGATGATAATGGCCCAGGAAATGAAGGGAGTGGGAGTCCTTGTGGTAAGGAAGTTGGGACAGCTCCACGAATTTGGGAGAGAGAAGATATCCATGTTGATGTGTAGCCCATAGTAGATGGAGTACTCTAACAAAAAAACAAAAACAAACATAAAAACACAAGATCAGTTTATTTGGCATATTGTTTATCAGTCTATATTCCCATTCTTTAAGGCTCACTACTTCCACTATTATACCGAGTGGAGCACCTTTCTGTGAGTTATGCAGTGGTAACATTCTTTACCTCAGCTCATTTTTAAATTGCCCTCCCTTGCAATATAGGCATTTTCAGATGAGGAAACAGAAACTAAAATTGATAAGTAGCCCAAAACCACCAAACAAGTTAACAGTGAGACAGGGACTTCAACACTGTTTCAAATAACTTTAAGGCCCATATTCACTCCCTGTTCACACTTTAGTCCCTTCTTTACTTATGATAGTACTATTTTTTTGCTTTTACTTCATTTTTTCCATCCATGAATGTGCTTTCACACTGCAGGCATGGATGAAAATAGCCCATCTTACCTACATGATTCTCTGGACACAGAGGAATACAGTTAGTGGAACAAGGAGACCTGACATACAGCAGATGTTCAATAAACCTCTCCTTCTTGTCCCCTTCTAACTATATTGAAATCTGACACTTCTGTTATTTTTATTTTATTTTGCGTGTATGGGTTTTTTGTTTGTATATGTATATGTGGAAGAAGAGGGCACTGGATCCCCTGGAATTGGAGTTAACAGACAAGTGAGCAGCCATGTGGGTATGGGGAATCAAATCTGTTTTCTGAAAGAGCAGCCAGTGTTATTAACCACTGAATCATCTCTCTAGCCCTTCTGTTACATTTACTTTTATTTTTGTGTGTGTACATGCATGTAGGCGTATGTACATATGGAGACGAGGTCCACTTTGGGTGTAGTTCCTCAAGATAACTTGTTTTCTGAGACAGATTCTCTCATAGGCCTGAAGCTCACTAAGTAGGCAAGGCTGGCTAGCTAGCAATCCCCAATAACTCACCTGACTCTGCCTCCCAGGGCTGGGAGGTATGCATGTATTACAAACCCAGCTTTTTTTTATAGGCTCAGGTCCTCGTACTTGCACAGTAAGTAGTTTACTAGTTAAGCTATCCTCCCAGCTCTCCCACTCCACCAATTCTTCTAAATTTAAACTGAAAACAGACAATTGTGCCTTGGGCAGTACTGAAAGATATATTCCTGCCTGGCTGGCTACTCTTACCATTATGTTGTGATTAAACACATATATAGAGAATATAATATATTCATAATACACATAGGAATAATTCCAATAAATGTAAATAATTCTAGTAGCAACCTCAAATTCTTAGTTCTACACTGAATTACCAAGCTAGAACTAAACTTTGAATTAAACTTTTGTTAGAAACTTTCAATTTAAGTTAGGATAAAAGTTTTTAGTTTGACCTGAAAATGAATGGCAAAATTATATTGAGTTGCACAAAATATTTTATCTAAAAGTTCAGCAATCTCTTCCATCAGTATTTTCTTTCTGTTAAAGTAAAATTAAATTTAGTGCTTTTGACTCAAAACAGCAATATAGTATGATCACACTTGAATAAACTTATTTATCCACATCTATGTATTCATATAGAAAATTATCTGAGCTCATTTTTTCATCAACTAGACTAGTATGAGTAACTCCTGACTTGTCAGAAAATGTTGACCCTGATCCTACCAAAGTCTGTCTTCTTGCTTCAGTCAGTGCTCATCTCAAAAGAAATGATAATTCAAATGTGCTCTTATTAAAGACCTGGAGTATCATAACTATCCATTCTTCTTTTTTTAAAAAAAAACACAGCATTCCTCATCACTACCACATCTGAGAAGCCATCTACTCTTTCGAGTATGTTCATTACTCTTTGCTTTCTTTGTTTCAGCCAGATTGACTTACTTTCAGTCTTTTCACATTTCTTTCTTCACATCAGGCTTTTGTATATGCTTAGGCAGGAACTAAGTTAACTCCTACTCTCTAGATCTCAGTCAATTATCACTTGATAAAGGAAGCTTTCCTTAACTACTTAAAATTGCATGTGGCAGTCAGAGGGCAACTTGTGGGGGTCAGTTTGCTCATTCTACCATGTGGATTCTGGGAACTGAACTCAGGTAGTAAGGCTTGCTGACAAGTGCCTTTACCCACTGGACCATCTGGCTAGCCCTCATTGACCACTTTTTAGAAGATCAAATTTCCCTTATTTAATGATATCCCCCTTTACCTTTTTTTCGTAATTCTTATAATTGCAGTTTAATACTGATTTATGGCTTTATTTGCTTTTACTCACTAAACTTGTGTCTAGCAGAGCATTTGGTACACATGATCATGCAAACAAAAATGTCTAAGTAGGGCTACAGGACAGTACCATGCAAGAGTATTAATTGACCCCTCTATACAAATATATAACCAACCAAATCTAAAATACAAAAATAGTTACCACATATAAGTAACCCCTGTGATGGTATAACTTTATTGGTGCTATTTAATCTTCACAATAATCCTGCAAGAATTATCCACATTTGAAATGCAAGAACTCTGAAGCAAAAAGATATAAAGTTATACAACTAGTAAATGACTAGCTAACATTGGAACCCAAATCTGTTAAAAGATTTTTCTCACTTTTATTTACATATAATTTTCTCCTTACTCTTCTTGCAAGCACCCTCCTTTATAATCAATAAACCATCATCCAGCTAATCAACAAAACCTTCCTTCATACAGCACGCAGAGTCTCTCACTGGCAGAACCCATGCATTTATGTCTTGAAATGCCTCTGAAGGATCTTAGATTTTATAAGTAATGATAGTATCTGAGCATCAGCTGATGCCAGAAATAAGACAAATACATACATCTCCCAAGCAGATACATTGTTCACTACTTAAGGAAGCCAAAATTTGAAAAGGTTCATTCAACATTAACAATAGATGTACTCTTTTAGGATGTATCTCAGGCACCAACTATGGATACTCTTGTCTCAGTCTCCTGAGCACTGGGACAACAGAAGTGTGGTCATTTTCTACCTTTTTTCACAGTGTATGGTACCAAATCCAGGGCTTTTTCTTGTGAGGCAAGTGCTCTAACACTAAGCTACAAACTCAGCTCAATAAAACCATTTTAAAAATGTTCAATGACTATATCTATTACCAAGTATACACACAAGAATAATATACTCAGAGATATCCTCTAATACAGGGGCTGAAATTAGAACACTTAACATTTTAACAGGTTTGATTACTTTGAAAAAAGTTACTTATTTTAAATATTTAGACACAAAAAAAGCACAAGGTAAAATAAGGTCCAAATTCCACCATCCGGCATATTGTTCAGTGATTTTCATACTTATATATTCATAAACATATGCCTAACATGTTTGTCTAAATCATATTATTCTATAATTCTGTTGGATAATCTATCTTCTTCCCACTCTAGAATACACACAGAACTCCCACATATCACTTATATGTACATCTTATCTTCTATGGCCATGTGTAATAACTGGCATCTTTTCTATAAACTCAATAGATCTTATAATATTTCACCTTCTATGGCCTTAAAATTAATTTTATGAATTAAACAAAGAGAGTTCAGATACATTATTGGGTTTAAAGAACATTGATGTGTAGCATAGAACATCTTTTTCTCAACACTTAATTCTTATACCTCTCTCCAGATGAATTCATTTTGAATATTTTGTATTTTTAGAGAGAAAATAGTATAAAACTAGAGCCAGCAAATTTTGGCCCACCACCTCTTTTTATAAGATATGTTTTCTTGTTTTCTAAGGACAGTAAACTGATTTGTTAAGGAAAAATAAGAACTCCTATGAATGGGAGGGGCTTCAAGGAAGGAACATTCCATAAATCAAGAGGTAATAGAACAGAGGCACAACCATTTGTTTACATATTTTCTTAGACTGCTTTTGCATTACAATCACATTAATTCTTGGAAACCTGTGGCTTGGAAAGTCTAAAATGTTTATTAATTGATTTCGTCATAAAAATTTGGTGACTTGTGGTCTAAAAGATAATTTGCTCAAAGACACAATAAATCTAGAAAGTATCAAAGTCTCAATATCATATTCCATACCATTTTAGAGCACTAACTATAATCATGAACCAAAATCAATTTTTATAGCTTTTAATTTTTATAAAGAGGACAGAGGATAAGAGACTTACTTCATATACTTTGTTCCAGTTTTCTGTCTCTAATTTTTGTTGGCTCTGTTTGAGTTGGTTTAAACTTGGCTTACTAGGAAAATTTCCTACTGTTTCCTTTGTCCAATCATCCACCAACTTGTGTAAATCATCTGTGAACATTCCCTTTTTACTGGCTGAAGATTGTTGGCGTGACACTGTATTATTCTCCACACACAGAGCATCTACAAGAAAAAAAACCAAAACAAAACAGGAAAAACCATGTAAAGGAATTGCAACTGATAATTAGATAACCCCATAATTTAAATTTCCATTTGACCAATCATTTATAGAGTAAGATCTTTCTTGAATATAAGATTTTTTAATTTAAAATTTCAAACAACTTTACAAATATCTCACACTTATGTCTATTTGTTTTGTGACTCAGCAAGATTAATGGAGAATATTTGTGTGAACAGAGGTTTGGAGCAATCTCTTGGAATCTGGTAGTATACAACTAAAGGTTGGTGAGTCACCTTCTCTTAGAAATGATATCAATAGATAGTTCAGAGGTAAAGGATAGGGCCCCATGAGGACCTCTTCCTTGACTGATTGTTGATAGGGCTGGTCTTGGATGGTCCCAGTGAAAGTAACTACATTTTCATGAGCTAACGATTACAATGGTTGTAGAAAGTCTAGGGAATAGTGTTTTATAGCCCTTTGCCCTATCTTTTTCCAGCCCCTCTTCTGTAACATTCCCTGAGCTGTAGAATGGGTGGTATAAGTGTACATCATGATTTTGATTTCTGTTCTTATTAATATGAATGAAATCTCACTCAGGATAGTGTTTTCTATTTCCATCCATTTGCATGCAAAACATGCAAAATTCAAGATGTCATTGTTTTTTTTTACCACTGAGTAGTAATCTAATGCGTATATATTCCACACATTCTTTATCCATTCTTCCATTGAGGGGCATCTAGGTTGTTTCCAGGTTCTGTATATTATAAATAATGCTGCTATGAACATAGTTGAACAAATGCTTTTGTAGTATGATTGGGCATCTGTTGGGTATATTCCCAAGAGTGGTATTGCTGGATCCTGAGGTAGGTTGATTCTGAATTTCCTGAGAAACCACCACACTGATTTCCAAAGTGGTTGCACAAGTTTGCATTCCCACCAGCAATGGATGAGTGTTCCCCTTACTCCACATCCTCTCCAGCAAAGGCTATCATTGGTGTTTTCGATTTTAGCCATTCTGACAGGTGTAAGATGGTATCTCAAAGTTGTTTTGATTTGCATTTCCCTGATTACTAAGGAAGTAGAACATGACCTTAAGTGTCTCTTGGCCATTTGAACTTCTTCTGTTGAGAATTCTCTGTTCAATTCAGTGCCCCATTTTTAAGTGGGTTAATTAGAATTTTAAAGTCTAGTCTCTTGAGTTCTTTATATATTTTGGAGATCAGACCTTTGTCTGATGCGGGGTTGGTGAAGATCTTCTTCCATTCAGTAGGATGCCTTTTTGTCTTAATGACAGTGTCCTTTGCTTTACAGAAGCTTCTCAGTTTTAGGAGGTCCCATTTATTGAATGTTGCCCTTATTGTCTGTGCTACTGGGGTTATATGTAAGAAGTGGTCTCCTTTGCCCATGTGTTGCAGTCTACTTCCCACTTTCCCTTCTATCAGGTTCAATGTAGTCGGATTTATATTGAGGTCTTTAATTCAGTTGGACTTGAGTTTTGTGCATGGTGATAGATATGGATCTATTTAGATGAATATGGTATGTACTCACTCATTTGTGGACTTTAGCCATAAACCAAGATCATTAAGCCTATAGTTCACAAGCCCAGAGAAGCCAAATAACAAGGTGAACCCAAAGAAAAAAATATATATATAGAGATCCTCCTGGAAATTGGAAGTAAACAAGATTGCAGGGCAAAAGTTGTGAGCATAGGGGTGGAGGTGAGGTTGGGGGAAAGGGGAGAGGGGAGAGGGAAGGGAGAAGGGAAGGACTGGCAACAGCTTGGGGGAGTGGGAGGGTGGAGATGGAGGAAGGGCAGATATAGGAGCAGGGAAGAAGATACCTACATTAAGGGATCCATTTTAGGGTTGGCAAGAGACTTGGCTCTAGAGGGGATCCCAGGTTTCCACAGGGATGTGCCTAGCTAGGACCTTGGACAGCAGAGGAGAGGATGCCTGAACTGTCCTTGCCCCACTATCACGCTGATGATTATCTCGAATATCACCATAGAATATTTGTCCAGCAACGGATGGAGATAGAGACAGAGACCTCATCAGAGCAACGGACTGAGCTCCTTAGGCCCAGTTGAAAGGCAGAAGGAGGGAGAAGACGAGCAAGAAAGTCAGGACCGTAAGGGGTTGGTCCACCAACTGAGGCAGTGTGCCTGTTCTAATGGGAGCTCACCAAATCCAGCTGGACTGGGTCTGAATGAACATGTGATCAAACCGGATTCTCTGATTGTGGCTAACAAGGGGGGCTGACTGAGAAGCCATTGATAAAGGCACTGGGACTTGTTTTTATGGCATGTTCTGACTTTTTGGGACCCTAGTCTATATGGATGCACAGCTCCCTAGGCCTGGATGTAGGGGGGAGGGCCTTGGACTTCTCACAGGGCAGGGTTCCCTGCCCTCTCTCAAGCAGGGTGGGAGAGGGAGGAGGGGTGTGGGGGAGCGGGAGGGTATTGGGAGGAGGGAAGGAAGTGTAAATAATTGAATGGAAAAAAAAGAATGAAATCTATTGTTTTAGATTATTTCCCAAAGTCCTTGAAACTTTGAGTCCAGATGATAGGATCTCATTTACAAAAAAAAATGATTTTTTTCATTTTATATTTTGAGGATCCTTACATCATAATATTATTCATTAATTCATTAATAGACATTTATAGGATAAAATATTTTTATGTCAATTTTATGAGTTTCATTAGTTTTTAAAATCAACTTCATAGCAGAAAAGGATTTTAGCTATTTTTATAACAGATGAACTTTAAATAGCCAATTAATTTAGAATTCTGGTTATAATTGTTTTCTATCTGTTATAAACAATTAAGAGCATTTAATTCTGGGCCAAAAGACAAAATATAAAGAGTTACAGCTGTTTCTAGAAGCTGGAGGCTGTCAAAGTAGTGATACACATAAATTAGAAATCTAAAATATTTCCTTTTGATTGCCCAAGCAAAACATGAACATGTTTTTTATGTTATGTTTTGAGGCACAGAGAAAAGCAATTATAAGTTGAATTATAATTGGTCCTTTTAATAGTCTTTGAATACAAAGCATTTTTCTATAACCTGCTTTGTAAAACAAATCCTATAAATTGAAACTATGGAAAAAAAATCTTAGAAAAAGTCTTAAATAAATTGTTAACATAGTTTCCTTGTAAAATTAATAGATGAAGTTCTTTATAATGAAAAAAAGTTGGCAATGCAGTAAAAGTATATGTGAAGAAACAAAAAACTGCATTAGTAAATATATTTTGTGTAAGTGTACTTTGTGCTTATATCTATCTTATTCTCTCATCTGCTTGCAAAGATGACTACAAAAAGCAATAATTACACAAATTTGTTGATTAGCTTATCATATGTAAAAATGTAATGTGTACAAAGAAAGGAAGGCACATACACAGAATAAAATATATATACCATTGAAATTACGATAGTGTTATTCTTGAATTAAGAAGCTAATTGCAATCCCCATGGCCACTACAGGAAAATAACTAAAAAAATATAATAAAGGAAACGACAAGAGGATTTAAACATGATAAAAAATATCTATTTAGGGTTTGGAAACATGGCTCAGCATTTACTGCACAAGCATGAAGACTGGAGTTCATAACCCAACACCCAAGTTAACAAGTCATTCATCCAAACACCTGTGATTCTAGATGTTAGGGAGGCTTGCTAGCTTCCAGCCTACCTAAGAAAATAAGAGCCCAAGGCTTAGAGAGGAGTAAGGCAAACGCACACCCCCCTCAAATCAATCTTTTAAGAAAGCAAGTTTAACACAAAGGAAGGCAAGCAGGAATCAAAGAAGAACAAAAAGGTCATTAGATATGAAAAACAAATAGAAAAATAAAAAGTAGAAGTGATTCTTAGTTTATAGTTAAATTTTATTGGAATGATTTAAATAACCCTATAAAAGACAAAGGCTGACAGAGTAGATAAAAAACATGATCTAACTGTATAATGATGTCCATAATAAATATTTTTCAGATTAAAAGTATAAAAGGGCAGGGAAGATGGCTCAGTGGGTGAAGGCAATTGCTGCTAAACCTGACAACTTGATTTCCAAAGCCAACTCCCATAACTTGTCTTCTGCCACCCAGATGCAAGCTATGGCACATACTCAGGCACACACAAGTACATATAGAGAGACACAGAAAAAAAATTTAAAAAATACATTAAAAGAATGGAGTTGTGCAATATATAAGTAGTAAACTAAAGAAAGCTGATTGCCTATATTCATATCAGAAATATATTCTAATATCAAAAGGTAAAAGAATCACAAGCACATGCAGCAGAGTTCCAAAATACATGACACACAGTTTATAGAACTGAAGCCAGGCAGTGGTGGCACACCACTGAATCCCAGTATTCAGGAGGCAGAGGCAGGCATATCTCTCTGAGTTCAAGGCCAACCTGATCTACAGAGCAACTTCCAGGAGTTCCAGGATAGCCAGGGCTACACAGAGAAACCCTGTGTCAAAAAACAAAAACAAAAACAAAAACAAAAAATTATAGAATTGAAAAGTTTAACAACAGGTAGAAACTACTAAAATCCACTTTATATAATTGAAATAATAAGCAAAATTCAAATGAAGGTCATGTTTGGGCACAGGAAAAAACATTTGGATAAACTAGGGGTTAAGCTTACTAATAGAGCACTTGCCTCGAGTGTGCAAGTCCTGTGGTTCAATCTTCAGCATGACACAGAATAAAAAAAAGAATATCATAGAGTGCCTCTCCTATAGTCCTAGCAACTTCAGAGGTCAAGGTAGAGGGTTAATTTGAGCCCTGACAAGGCTGGGAATTATAGAAAGAATTTCATCTCTAAACAAATGAACAAAACAAGTGTGTAAACAAGCACAACATTTGAGAACAAAATGAAGTCTAACTATAAATGCCATAACATCAGACTAAAGGTTATGACTTTCGATACTGAATCTCCAAAGCTGCTTTCAATCCTAATCTACTCTTCAATTTTATTTTTATCAGGCTCATCCTATAGCTCAATGTACGCTGGCCTCAAACTCAACCAACCTCCTGCTTCAATCTCCCTGTGCTGGGGTTATAGTATATACTACCATACATGACTAGTTTTCCATCATTTCATTTTTCTTTACACCTAAATAAGATTCCACTGAATGGTGCTCCACATTTTCTTTATCCATTTATCTGCTGATAGACATCTAGGCTAGTTCTACTTCTTCACTATTCTGAATAGTATACAATAAAAATAGAAGCACAAGTTATGTGGTACGCTGACCTTCATTATGTATCTGGAACCAAAGAAGTTCAACCTCAGGAATAATTTCTTTATTTGTTAAATAGATATAGATAGTTTCCCAAAGTTAAAGAAATAACATTTTAGGGGCTCGAGAGATGGCCTCACAATTGAGAACACTTGTTGATCTTTTGGAGGACCTAAGCTTGCTTCCTAGCACCCACATGGTGGTTCACACCTATCCTTAACTCCAGTTTCAGAAGATTTGGCATTGTCTTCTGACCTCCATGGGTACCAGGCACATAGTGTGGTACATATACATACATGCAGGCAAACATTCATACACATAAAATATAAATAAATAAATCTTTAAAAAAGAAATGGATTTTTTGGGGCCTAGAGAGATGACTCAGCAGTTAAGAGTACTGACTGCTTTACCAGAGAACCCTGGTTCAACTCCTGGCACCCACATGGCAGCTCACAATTGTCTGTAACTCCAGTTCCAGGGATTCTGACATCCTCACACAGACATACATGTATGCAAATACCGCTGCACATAAAAATAAATTTTTTAAAAAAAGAAATGGATTTTTCTAATATTCTTAATAATAATATATAAAGGTTCTGGAGAGATTGTTCAGTGGTTGAGAGTGCTTGCTGACGTTACAGAAGACCAGAGTTCAGTTCCAAGCACCCATGTCAGGTGGCTCACAACTGTCTGTAACTCCAACTCCAGGAGATCCAATGCTCTTTTATGGCCTACACACGCTCGCTCGTGCTCTCTCTCTCTCTCTGTGTCTTGCATGATCAACAAACTTCTATACCAACTCTCAATGCTAGAAAGACTAGCATTTCTAACTAACTAGCATTTTGAAAACTATTTAGGGGTAGATACTGAAGTTCCACCTGTTTGTTTTCCAAATAAAAACATAAACAAACAAACTTAGTTATTCTCCAAATTCTGTCAATTATACTAATTATTTCACTAAAGAACATTTAGTACCAAAAACATAGAGGAGTATTTTAGATCAATGTGTACAATATCAAATTATTTCAGCCTAATAAAAAGCAACTTGTACTATCACTGTTTTTCTAATTTTGCTGTTCTTTGATCAGATTTTATTTTTCTTGAGACAGGTTCTTCTGTTCACCCCAGACAAGATTTGAAGTCATCATTATCTTGCCACAGTCTCCTGAGTGCTTCTACTACATGCATGCTACACTATGTCGAGATCTGATTAGTTTTTAAAAACAATTATGCTTTTTAAAAAAAATGAAAAATCAATTATGCTTATGATTGGTTTATCTTTTACAACAACTAAAATGATTATGTTTATGACTGGTTTACCTTTTACAACAATGACATTGTCTGAATGTGTCAAAGATTGAGGGCGGCTTCGGAGTTTACTTTTGAAAGCTCTTGGCCGACGTGGTGAAGCAGGTGATGAAGGAATCTCTGAAGATTGTACTTTGCTATCTTTAGTTGCTCGAAGGCGTTCATAGAGCTCCTGCAGCTCTTTATTCTGCTGTGTTTGAAGATTGACCACCTCCTGAATGTGTCTGAATAAAAATTATGTAGAAAATATTTGAATAACTTTGGTGCCATAAAAACAAACTCAGGAACTTTGTAATGGTATAAATAAAACTTTACAAAACATTAATATTAAAAAATGATGGAATGCAGAGTATTTTTAAGTTTTTTTTGAGACAGGGTTTCTCTGTATATCTCTGGCTGTCCTAGAACTTACTCTATAGACCAGGTTGGCCTTGAACTCACAAAGATCTGCCTGCCTCTGCCTCCTAAATCCTGGGATTAAAGGCATGTACCACCTCCGCCACCCCCCAGCTCAATTTTTTTTTGATACAAGACCTCACTATGTAATATTGGCGAGCCTGGAATTCAACAGGTTAGCCTCTACCTCCCAGGAGCTGGAATTACAGGCATGAGCAACCAAGCCTGACATCGAATACAATCTTAGAAATTATCTGTAAGCTTCAAGAATACAGACCTTTTGCCGTGTGGTGGTAGTGAACACCTCTAATCCCAGCACTTGGGAGGTAGAGGCAAGTGGACCTCTGGGAGTTTGAGGCTATCCTGGTCTACAGAGCGAATTCCAGGACAGCTAGGACTGTTACACAGAGAAACCCTGACTCGAAAAACAAACAAACAAACAAACAAACAAACAAATACAGACCTTTTAATTATATTCCACAGAAATATCTCTGTGTGTAAAAAGATAAGCATCATTTGTATAATTAAACATGGAGAACACTGAAATATCTCTCAAGAAAGGATTAAATAAACTCAGATACACTCATACATTGGAATTGCATGCAATGATATTTTTAAAGGTACATTTACACAGATACAAACATTCATAGACAACATCTTAAAGTAAAAAAAATTATAGAATAGCATGATTGTTTTTACTTTATTTTTATAAAGGACAAAAAAGATATGCACAGAAAAAGAACCAACAAGATATATCCCAAACAGTTCATAGTGAGCACCTCTGAGAAGTGAGGCATAGCATGAGAAGTACAAGGGGTCTTTTGGCTTGCTTTCTCATTACGTTATTTGAACATTATCCTGTGTATCACTTCTTTTGAGACAGGTTCTCACTATGTAACCTTGTTGGCCTGGAACTCGTTATATAGACCAGACTTACCTTGAACACAAAGAGAATTGCCTTCTGCCTTCTGAGTACTGGGACTAAAAGCGTGTGTCACCAGGACTGGCCTTTATTTTTAAATTTTAACTTTTAAAATACAAACCCCCACATCTATAGATTATTCAAACTAATTTGGGCAAAATAATATCAGCTTACTCTTATTGGTCTATAGTATCTACCAATTGCCTGGTAAAATACTATGAACAATCCATAACAAAAGAATACTAAGGGGCTGGGGATGTAATCCAGGGGTAGTGAGACAAAAGAGGAGAATGGGCACTCATTCATTCCCTTAGCCACTGGGCAGGTTTTTAAACTCTATTAAAATCCATTAAAGTAGCTACTATTAATGTTATTGATAAATTAACATTCCTATTCTAAGCACTCCTTCTGATGTTCATTTTCCTATTTAAAAAAAAAAAAACCCCAGTTACTACTAGGCGACTATGCAATCTGACTCTTCCTTGCTTTGAGTACAAAGACTGTCAGTCAGCCAATGTGACAATTCTTATGCTAACACCAGCATAAGTTTTGAACACCCCACAGATGCCCTGAGAAAACTACACAATTAACTCAGCTGATTGTTTTAGTTCCTGGGGGTTCAGTCTTAACTAGGTCTGTTCCAGTATGTACTCAACTTTTTGCTACCAAAAGCCTTGCAAAACTCTAGAAAACTCTGCAAACATTTTCATCCTCTCCTGCAAGGCCAGAATCAGATGAAACTTTTGGTGGCCTACCAGAGAGACTACTGTGGCTACGGCTAAAGGGATAGTGCTGTGAAAGATACACTGTGATTGGTCCAAACACTCTTGCAGCTTTATAAGCAGGTCTTGTGCTGGCTTTTCTGGTGTAACATTAGGCCCAATATAAAACTGCTTCTCCTGGGTGGTCTTTCCTACTTTCAGTAGTGTAGGCGGGGCTGGTAAATACAAAGAAAACAGCAGAGACAACAGAGGCAATGAGAGTTGAACAATCTGCAGGCCTAAACTATGAAAGTGGCAATGCAGCTGTCTACTTGACAGCTGAAGAAAAGAGAGTTTGGTTGTCAGCAGGCTGAGCTTCAAAATCAGCAAAGTTCAACTGCTTGACTGTTGAAGAAGAGGTAGCTCAATAGTTTGAGAAGGGCCAGGCAGGAACTAAAGGGATGGTGGAAGTTGAAAGGAAAGAGTGTTGCAGGTAAAAAAAGGATTGAAGGCAATAAAATCCCAGAGAAAAGTAACTGCTGGTCCTGGTCATTGGAAGAATTCCAGACAGCTGTCAAAACTTAAGCATGGAGAGTTTCAGACTGACCATTGCCAGGGCCTGAAGAATCCTGATACCCAGGGCTGCCTATCTACTGTAATGCCAGCTGCTGCAAGGACTAAGAATCCCAACTTCCTGGCCTTATTTAAGAACTCTAGCACTTTCAGAGCTAAGTAGAGTCTTGCTACTAGGTCTGCACCAGAGCTGTCAATGGCTATGTAGAACTTGCTATGCAGAACAGGCTAGTCTCAAACTTCAAGAGATCCACCTGCCTCTGCACCCCAAGTGCTGGAATTAAAGGCATGCAATACCACACCTGGTCCTATTTGGGGCTGATTTTTTTTTAAAGATTTTGTTTTAATTTATATGTGTGTTTGTATGAATATATGGCACAAATATGTAGGTACCTATGGAGATCATCAGAACTCCTAGAGTTGCAGTTACAGGTAGTTGTAAGTCACGTGATATGGATACTGGAAACTGAAGAACAGGAAGTACTCTTAACTACTGAGTCATCTCTCAAATCCCAGAATAAAAAGACCCTTTTTGAGATCTATATTTCATAACCAAAATCAAGTACTCATAAACAACATAGGCAGCTATAAAAGCCAACAGTCTTTTCAAAATGATTTAAAAGATTTATTAAATTCTTATAATCAGAGGCTGTTTGCAAATTTGAGGCCAGCCTGAGCTAAATGGCAAGACCATATTTCAAACAATAACAATACTCCATAAAACATAAACAGAATACTAACATCACAAATATTAAAGCACTTTAAAAATAAGTATTGTACCATAAAATATCTGTATACATAAACTACACAGTACTGAATATATAGGAAAATGAAATATATGCAATGAAATATCAAACATGTAGACATGTGTATTTTAGTTAACTTTTAATCTTTTGCTACAGGCTGGGCAGTGACGGTGCACGCCTTTAGTCCCAGCACTTGGGAGGCAGAGGTAGGCAGATCTCTGTGAGTTTGAGGCCAGCCTGGTTTACAAGAGCTAGTTCCAGGACAGGCTCCAAAGCTAGAGAAACCCAGTTTTGAAAAACAAAACAAAACAATTAATCTTTTGCTATGAGAATTATTATTATGTATATAGGTATATGATATATATGTTTGTTATGGTCAGAGGAAAATTTTCATCAGTTGCGTCTCTTCTTCCACTGAGGAGTCTGTGTTTTAAACTGTCTGTCAGGCTTGCATGGCACTTTTCAAAGTAGACCATAAATTTTGTAGAGGTGGTAAATTCTTTCTGTTGGTGGTGATAATTTTGTCATTGTTATGATGGCACATGCCTATAATTCCAGCCCTTGGGAGGTTTAGGCAACAGGGTCAGGAGTTCAAGATCATTCCCAGTTTAACTTAGCAAGTTTAAGATTAGGCTGGTATATGAAACCAAATACCAAATAAAACAACATTTATAAAAAGCACTCAACATGATAAAACATATTGCTATAGTATCATTAGTAAAACTTTATGACCTCATTCATTAAATAATAAGCTTGATCTTAGAAGGATCTTGTACTTTCCTAAAGATGACTATATAAATTAGCTGTATACTAATAAAAGGTAAGAATAGTCACATATTTGTATTCTAAGAGTACTAAAGAACAAGGATTGAAAAAAGCATGTATTCATCTTGGCATGTGCCTGTAATACCAGCATGAAGGACGCAGAAGCAGGGGGATTACCACAAGTTTGTGGTCAACATAGATTAGCTCCATAGTATATTACAGGCCAGGCAGAACTGCATAGCAAAACCCTGTCTCAAAAAGCACCCATATGAAAAAAAGAGAAGGAGAGATGGCTTGCAGTTAAGAGTTCTGGATACTTTTCAGAGGACCTGAGTTCAATTCCCAGCAACTACATAGCAGCTGGCAACTGATTATTAACTCCAGTTCTAGTGGGATATCCAACAACCTCTTCTGGCTTCTATGGGCACTGCACACAAAGGCCGCACAAATAAACATGCAGGCAAAACACCCAAACACATAAAATAATTTTAAAACTAAGATAAAATTATTTTATACACAATAACTTTAGCATTCCATAAACATTTTATGGATAATTATGCACATAAATAAATTTATTACAGTTTTTAATCACAGAAGTTTTAATCATTAAAATACCACCAATACCCAATAAGCTACAGAGCAAATATTAAAAGTTCTAGAAACTCTTAAAAAATTAGATTTGTTACAGAAAAGAGAGCATCCTTACTTTTCTCGTAATCTTTGAAGCTCTACTTTCAAGTCCTCGTCCTCAATTTCTGATTCATCATCACTGCTCATTGGGGAAGATGGAGAATAGAAGAGTGAACTCTGTGTTTGAACATAGGCTTGCTCTTTACTGAGTGGTAAATACTGATCACTCTTTGAACCAGATTTTGCCACTGACTTTCCATTACCAGCAAGAGGGGCTGAAAATTCATATGGCTGTTTCCCAGGAGTCAATTCCTCTTTTTCTTTATCTAACAGTTCAGACCCAGAATGCACACTAATTCTTGTAGTTGAGGTTCCTTCCAAGTTCTTTTCTGTAGTCACTAAAGACACACTGGTTTCACAAGCTGTGCTGAAAGATAAGAAGATGTCACCTTGTTCAGGCTCTCTTTTATCTTCTTTAAAAGTCTCATAAAGAGTTCGTAACTTTCGTGAAGAATCTGATGCTTTAGGAGTGGGCATGGCAGGTTCCACTTCGATCAACTGAGATACTGCAGTTTCAGCAAAGGCTGCTGCTTCTTCACTGGACTGGACTGTTGTTTTCTTGAATGGAGGTCTGTGTTCTTTTCCAAAAGACATCATTTTCACTGACTGCTGCTGAGGAACTGTAATCACCTGAGACAGAAAAAAGGTAAACTTGTCTGGTTCTACTTAATCAAAGGGTAAACCTCATGAAGAAATTCATTGTCAAAACACAGCACAGACAAGAAGGGCCAATTTGACATATATAATATTTGGTAATACCAAAACTTATACTGCTACAGTCTTTCAGTTGGGGCCTTTGGATAGAATAGCTTCATGTTACCCAAATAAAATTCCACTATGAAATTTGCTGAGATTCTAAAGGACATTAGATTAAATTGAGGCAGGAGAGTCAGCTCAGCAGGTAAGAATATCTGCTGTTCCAACAGAGGACCTGAGTTTGGTCTCCATCATTTACATGGTAGCTTACAATTATCTGTATTTCAGCTCCCAGGGATCTGATATACTCTTCTTGACTCTGTAGGCACCTCATATGGCATATGTCACAAAGATACATACAAATTAATAAAAATATTAAATCTAAACTGGAAATTAAATTGATAAAAATGATGACCCAAAAATTATTATCTATTTCTGTGCTCTTTTGTAACTACTAACATCCCTATATTTTTCAGATTCATCTATAATGATAGCGTTGTATGGTAAAAAGATATGACCAAGATAAAAATTAGGTATGAAATGATTCAAGTAAGAATGATTTGCAGATTAATTTCAAATGGTTTCACTTTTTTATAGTGTTGGGAATAGAACCTTGGGTCTCACAGATGTTGGGCAAACTCTCCCATGAAGCTCTATCTGTTTTCTTTCATAAGGCAATGATAAAGAGACAACCAAAGACACAAACCTGGAACCGGCCCCGCTGAAATGATCCACTCATTGCTTTGCATCTACTCAAAGTCCTATTATCAGTTGAGAACTCCCGTGGCAGAGGAATGGAATCAGAAGCAACTGCTGATCTTTTATCTTCTGTTTCCACTGTAAAGTTTGTCAAATTATAAGCAGAAAAGAGAAAAATCATTTTTAAGACTAATTTGTTTACATTACCAAAAATGAAGAAAAGTAGAAAAAGTTTAACCCTCGCTAGATAATTAAAAAGTGTTAATGCATAAGCAACATTGTTTAAGTCCCTAACTCTAAATCAGACATTGCAAGATTTATCCCGATACTTAGTATCTATATGAAATGAATAACTGAAAAACCAAATTAGTTATAAAAGGAAAAAATAAAATGGCCACAACACTAATGGGATATTTAACATATATGAGCTACATGGAAAAAATGGCAAGATTCAAATATGGACGACAAAAAAAAAAAGTAGATGAAAAATGATGTTACCTAGTCTATGTCCCTGACTGTAAGCACACTACCTTGACGGACTTTTGATCTCTTGAAAAAGCTGGTTGACTGCCGTAGCCTGTATGCCCAGCTTTTTAATTTTCGAGTCCAGGATTTCCTGCTAATAGGATTTTTGAGACTAGGACAAGTAAAGCTTAGGCCAAAATATCCACCTCCTGTCTGCAGATGAATGGTTCCATCGCTTGACACAGCAGCAGGATAGGCCTCTGGATCCCCTGGAAGTGAAGCATCTGAGGACATCTCCTAATGGAGACAAAAATCAAAGAAAAACCAAGTGGTAATAATTTAGGTAAGGTGAGTTAAGTTTTGGGGCATAAAATGTTTCTTATATGGATTAATAATTAACCATAAAACTATGGACTGTTTCAGTAACAGTGCATATGAGACTGAAACCGAAGCTTTGATATTTCTTTGGAAATATTATGTCTTTAGATTAAATAAAAGACACTATTAATTTTCTAGGCCAAAATATTTGTTGTCATTACATCAAATTTGAAAACTAAAATTGAAAATAAGTTATTTTTATATATGCCAAATGACTAAAAGTACTAGTTTTTTTGGTTTATTAGATACAAGGTATCATGTAATTCAGGCTGTCCTTGAACTCCAGCTCCTACTGTCTTCACCTCCCAAGGGGTAGGATTTCAGGTGTGCAGTAGTACCATGCCTGTTTATAAATGCTATTAAGTGAAATATTAGCTTGTTCCCCTATTATTTAAGAGATAATGATGTTTGATATATGATACAATAAAAAACAAGCTATTTAAAGCTGTTTAGGTAATAAAGAAATAGGAAATACGAGGAAAGTTTCTTAGTTTATATGATCTTATAGAAATTTACAAAGAAGTGAAAAATTACTGTGAATTCATGTTTTAAGAATTTTTAATATCAGATCATGTTTGCTATAAAACCATCATCTTCTTGTCCTCCTACCCTCCCCAAACACCCATGATTGCTTGTTGTGTCTAAATGAGTGCTTCATAAATAAATTATCTGTGGTAATTAATACAAAAACTTAGTGCATAGAACCATATATGGATCCTTTGGGATGTAAAAATAATCACTAACACCCAGCAATGGTGGCACAAGCCTTTAATCCCTGAATTGGGAGGCAGAGGCTGGCAGATTTCTGTGAGTTCTAGGTCAGCCTCGTCTACAGAGTTCCAGGATAACCAGGGCTGACCCAGAGAAACACTGTCAAGAAAAAGAAAAAGAAAAAAAAGTGGTCACTAATAACAGAGTATTAAAAGTGAATATAAAAAGTGTATAGAGAGGGATGTAGCATTAATCTAAAGGAAGACAGTCTTCCTACATGACAATAAGCATTATTAATACTTAAATCAGAATTTATCAAAAGGGAAAATTTTGGACTAGAGATGTTCAGCTGATAGAGGGCTTGCCTAGCAAGCATAAGGCCCTAGGTTTGATTCCCAGAACCACACAAGGCATTCATGTACATACATCTGTAATCATAGCACTCAAAAGGTAGAGGTAGATCATTCGTGGTTATATAGTAAGTATGAGGTCAGCCTAGGATACATGAGAGGTTACCTCAAAAAAAGGTGAAATTTTGAACAATAAGTAAGCAAGTTTCTGAAGTCCTATTTTGGGTTATCAATATTATTTAAACTAGGAGAGTTTAAATATTGTAAAAATACTATATTTCAGAAAGTGCTACACTGATGCCACTGAAATTATAAATGAGATATGTATTTCTCATTTATAATAAGCACTCATTTAGACACAAATTATAAATATGTAGTGAATAGACCAAGATGGCATATTTACTATAAATTTTAGTTTCCCTTGTAAAGTGAAATGCTCAGACAAAACAACAGCAACAATAAAAGTCCAGATCTAGACATAAGAATTTATGAAAGAAAGACTGTACTATATGAATGAACCGTCTCAAAAAGACTACATACTCTAGTGCTAGATATGAGCAACAACAAAGAAATCTGGTCAACAAAAAATGATGATCAACAAAAAATGATGCTTACAAAATTTCACCCAATCTTTTTCCCATCTGTCTTTTCACTATATTATATTTTAAAACATCTTTCTACTTAACTGGCCTTCTTTTGATTCCTTGAACAAATATCTACCTGCAAATGTAACTAATGTAAATTATATGTCTATCCCTGATCACTCAAAATGGGTAATCTAATTTATCACAGCCCTTAAATTATGCTATTGAAAGACTGTTAAATACTAGAATGTGAACTTCATAAAAAGAGGTTTTGACTTACTGTTCAATAGACAATTTTTGAATGGAAGATTATACTGGAGGAGGTAAAAAAGAAAGAACAGTCATTCCCTTCTCTCTACACCAATCAAAAAACACCAGAAAACCTACTCCCATAATAAGAATACAAAGAAGAAATATTTTGGCGAAGAGAAAAGTCAGTGAGGGGCAAAGACAATATCTAAGAGCCCAGCTGCCTTTATAGACTAGCTACAGCAGTTACCCTCAGGGAAGCTTTAAAAACAAGTTAAAATGTACAGCACAAAAAAGTTTGTTTGATGTTTTTCTCACAATTAAAATACAGTAATTATATAATAGCACATATGTACAGATGGACATAGAATCTTATGGGAGAAATTGAAAAAAATGGACACAGAACTAAGAATTAGCAAAACTTAAAGAAAACTAACACTGAAAGAAAATACTAAACTCAGTGCTAGAAAGACGTCTCAGTGGTTAAGGGCAATCAGGTATGGTTCCCAGCACCTATCTAGTGGCTAACAGCTATCTGGAACTCTAGTTTTAGGGGATCAAGCTCCTCTTCTGACCTCTGTGGGCTCCTGCACACACATGGCGCAAATACATACACATTGGGCATACATATATACACAAAAAATTAAATATAAATATTTAAAAAACAAAGAATGGATTAGAGCTATTAGAAATTCAAAAATGCAATCCTTGATGCAAAATGACTAAATAGGACAATATAATCATCTTAAAAATGGAGAAATTATCTCATTACAAAAAGCAAAGGGAAAAAGAGAGGAAAGTATGACATGAAAAGTTAACATATGAGAAAAATAAGAAATGAACAAATAAAATTATCTTCATTCACAAATGACAAAATTTTATACATAGAAAACTCAAAGCTTGGCATGGTGGTACACACTTTTAATCCCAGCATTCAGGAAACACAGGCAGGTGGATATCTGTGAGTTTTTGGCCAGCCTGGTCTACATAATGAGATCCTTTCTCAAAGAAAAAAAGTTCAGGGATAGGAAGATGGCTCAGTGGATGAATTTAGCAATTGCTATGAAAGCATGAGGAAATCAGTTCAGATCCTCTGAGGAAAATGTCTAGCTACACTAGTCAATCAATGATCCTGCCACAAAGGAATATGGTGAAGAAAGATTAAGGACATCTACTGTCAACCTCTGGCCTCCATGTGCACTCACACATGCACATATGCGCATATACATGCAAATACATCCATATAAAAGAGAAAAATAAAATCCAAAAGAACCTACTAAAAGCTATTAGGCCAATAAATAAACTCAGAAAAATTCAAGTACACAATCTTAACACATGAAAGTCAGTTATTGTTTGGATGAGTGGCTCACATCTATAATCCCAGCACTATAAAGGTTGAGATAGAAAGAGGTTGAGATAGGAAGATTACTATGAGTTTGAAGCCAAGTTAACCTGGACTACAGAGTGGATGCCTTGTATCAAAAACAAAAACAAAAACCAGTCTATATGCTAAACAATGAAGAATTCAAAGAGGAATTTGTTATATGTTAAATGTCCTCATCAAAATAATGTTAAAACTTAATCCCCATTTGTGAGGTTTTGAGAAGCAGAAACAGGCAGAACCCTTAAGAGGTAACAGAGTTATAAGGGGTCCATTATAAGGTAATGGGTTCCATAGCAGCTTCAAGCTACATAGTAAAACACAGTCTTAAAAAGAAAAAACACAAAATTACTAAATCAAGAGAGGAACAAATACATGTATTATTTATAAGTTATTAATGATAATGACCAAAGAAACTACAATAAGAAACTTGTTTAGGAAATGTTAAGTTGTTTAGATTTTACTATTCTTCTGAAATGCTTTTGTGCTTACATATTAATTCTATAACTTAAACTAGTCTACATAAATTTTAATAATGCAAAACAGCATATATACACATAGAAATATATGTATATAAATATTACATGTATCTATGTTTACAAAAGGCATAATACATATGCAGAATTATGTTGGTACAAATATTTATACATTAACTAAAATCATATCTGGAAATGCCAACAGTTATGTTTACAGATTTGGGATGTGATAGATTTTATTTTGCACACAAATATATATTATTTGGATAGCAATGATGACAAAAATTACAGTGGTAAACATTTACAAAGATATTCATGACATGGTAAAATGAAAAAAATTCAGTTCGCTGACACAGTAATTATGTGTTTTTAGCACAATATTATTTTGAAGAACATATGTGATATGCATGCAAATAGATCTATGTAGGCTTAAGAAAAGTCAAGAAGGACAAGCAGCAAAATTACTAGTGATTACCTCTGTGACTGAACAGGTAGAAAAGGGAAATAGGGCTAGGGGTATGGCTCAGTGGTATAGCACTTGCATGGTATGTATTTGATCCCTGAACTTAATAGCCAATACTGAAAAATAAAAAAGACATGAAAAGAAAAAAATGGGGATATTAAAGTTCCTATATTATATTGGTGGGCAATCTCAACAAAAATCTAAAATCCAAAATCTGAAACTTTCTGAGTACCAACATGATCCTGCTAGTAGTGGAAAATTCCACATCTGACCAACCTCATCTAATGAGTTACAATTAAAACAAAAGTGCATTAATAAACTATGTAAAATTGTCTACAGTCTCTGTGTATAAATATATAAGAAACAAAAATGAATTCTGTATTTAGATTTGGGTACCAGCCCCAAGATACTCCAACTGGTATTTACAAGTATTCTAAAATTCAGGGAATCTAAAATCTAGAAAACTTGTAATCTTTCCATCTCAATTTTTCTGGGGAAAACTCTTTTTCTTCCTGCTCCTTCTCCTGTTTTTCTAAATTTATTTTTATTTTTCTAATTGAATTTATAAATACTTTCATACATGTTAATAATGAATTCTGATTACTCCACCCCACTTATTCATTTCTCTCCCATCCCTCTCAACTCCTCTCCTCCCAACAAGTTCCTTTGCTGCATTCATGTCTTTACATTTATTTTGTGAACCACTGAGTTTAACCAGGACCATCTGTGTGACTGTATGTTTGGGCTTTTCACCGGAGCCTGGTAGGTTCACCATGATTACACAACTTAAGACAATGACTGTCCTTTCTGCCACAATTTATCAGTAACTAATAGTTCAGCAGGGAATGGCCAGGATCTATGAGTTCCGCTTACATTCTATTTGTTCTTTTGTAACACGGTGTCATGTAGTCAAGGCTTGCCTCAAACTTCGTATTAGTTGAAGATGATTTTGAACTTCTGATCCTACCACCTCCACCTCCTTGGTGCTAAGATTATGGTATGAGTTACCATGCTTAATTAAATGTTGTACTGTTTAAGGTACTGGGGCAAGCACTCTATCACTGTGCTATATTTCTAGTCCTTTTAGAGGTTGAGGAAAAAAAACCCATGGGATTGTGGATGATTTTTGTTTTTAAAAAATAAGTTAAACTCATCAAAATATTAAATTAATACTATAAAAATTGTTATAAGGGAATGGACAACAGTTTTCTCTTCGTAAATTTTTCTTGTTTTATTTTTAAAGTTTCCTCTCAAACTAAAATCAAAAAGTATATTACTCTTATCCTCAAAGTAATCTAAAATTAAACACAGTGTTTGCAAATTTCAAGCCAACTAACCAGAAGGCTTTCTTAAATAAACTCAAGGCAAATCTGCCATTTCTAAGAAGTTTTGAGTAGCTGCAGCCTAAGTCACATTCTTAAATGGTAGTTACTTTGGAACATTTTAGGAGAGAGGGTATTTCTTTAAATTCCATAAGCAAAGAATAAGAATTAGAAAGATACTCACATGTAAACATAACTCGCTGGGTACAGAAGTTATCACATTCAAGTCTCTTTTGAACACTGATATATTAGCAGGCTGACTTGCAGCTGCATTGGACGGAATCTTAGAGCCTGTCTGTTGGAAATTCGGGGATTGTGTGGGACTATCTTGAATTCCACAGTGACTGACAGCTATGATTTCTGGCATTGAATAGGATAGTGTATCTTCAGCAGAGGAAGAAAATGGAGAGTCTATGCTTTGAGTATCCTTCTGACTCTCAGGATAAATGCTAGAAATGCTGTGCTCCTGATAGAGCAGGTTTCTTAATTTTTCATCCAGCGTTTTAATTCGGTTGTCTGCAAACTCCATTTTTGGAGGTCGTTCCCCATCTGATTCCAGGACAGTAGCAGGAAGATGTGTAGCTGGTTCAAAGCCAGGAGTCTGAGTGGCAAGGACAGCCTTAGGAGAACTTGTTTCAGTGTTCACTGTAGTTTTTACTTCTTGGGAAATGAACTCTGCATCTACAGTTTGTTGAGGCTTTTGATCAGAAGATACAAATGCTGAAGTTAGAACATTATCACCAATCTGAACCGATTCACCAGGATGGGCCATAAGCACATCAGCCAGAACAGCAGCTTGCTGACATGGATGGGTAGGTATGAATATGCCTGCTTGGCTGGTGAGTGCCTCACATTCAACTGAAACTGGACATACCAAAGTAGTAGAATCATTGGAATGATCAATAGCTGGTGCCCTTATCTGTCTGTCATCTTCCACTTGATAGAGAATAGTTGGCTGCTCAGTTTCTCCACTAGCACATTCAGAAATATTAGCATCAACCACATCCTTGTGTTCTGATTTAGAGGTGAAAATTACATGCTGGCCTGGATTATTCTCTATAGTGAACAATGTGTCCTGTGATATTTCCTGATTACTTGTGTTTCTTGAACCTGGTACAAAACAAAAGAATAGCTGAGTTTTGATGAGTAAAAAGTACAAACACAAAACTCAAAAGGGACAAGGAAAACAAGGGACAAATTAGGATCTATTTAAAAGTACATTTGTAAATGAGATCTAAAACATCACAGAATTCAACAGTCAAGAAGAAATGACTTTTTGGATTTCTTCTTCCACAAAAACTGAATAAAATGGTCTGTTATATAGCAATATTAATGTTTTCTAAAATGCTCATGAAAACTGTCATAAGCATAAAATACTCCTGGAAACAAATTAATGATACAGTCTATAATTTGGAACCATATCATCCAAGTCCATAGAAATCTGGCAGACAATAAAGCTTACTAGGAAATGGATGTAACCCAGGAACTGTAGCCACAGAAGGCTGAAGGGAAGGAGGAGACTGTGCATCACGATGTTTTATAGTTTGGTTGATACAAAACCGCCACCGACCAACTGGGGATGACTGAGGAACTGATTCATCTGGAGAAAGAAATATTAACAAGTTATACACGAAGAAATGTCAGTGTGTTCATATTAAATAAAGAAATCAAGTTAAAAATTAGCTTGTGTTGCAGTTCCACTTTCAACAGTACAAGGATAATTATAAGCCATAAGAGTAACAACCCAACCTTGACAAACAGTCTATAGACCTAAATATAAGGTATATATTAATAGTAACCAGAAGCAAAGCACTACATTTAAATAACTGGGTCATAGTTTCTCCATTCAAATCTACAGTTGTTGTTCTGCAACCTGATTATGGTTGTGCCTAAGTTATATCATGGTGGTATACAAGCATTAAAATTTACAGAACTATACACCAGAAAAAAGGAGAAGTAAATCTAGCTTATGACAATATAAAAGTAAAGTAAGACAAATCCCTACATCTGTAACTTTCTCAAGTAATTTTCTTTGGAACTTTACCTTATGTTGTCAGTCAGACACTTGCTCAGATTTCTGCTAAACAACAAAGTAAGATACAAATGTACTCTGGCATCCTAATACAGTTGAACTAAGTTTCTGGATAATGGTATCTGCTTCCATTATTCCCACACCACCTTTTGCTTCTACATGTTGTGTAAATTCCTTCAGATGTCTTCATGATGCTATGGTTCGTCTCCCCCTCCCAGACACTCTTAATATACCCATGACTAGGGCTAAGAAGAATGAAGAAATAAAGTTGTCAGAAAAGAAAACAGAAGAACCCCAATTTTAATTTCTGGAAGTTTATCTGGTGTCTGATTTACAAAGTTTATCAGTGACCAGAGCTGGTAGAAGTATTATCATCAGTGAAATAGTCAAGTTCTGAATGACTATTAAAATATGAGGCAAACTTAGAACACAGATTTTAGTTAGGATACCTTTGTCCATCTCAAGTCAAAGTAAACAAATTAGCAGTTAAGATTCAAATAGGCTATCAAAGTCTTCAGCATTGTGACTTCCTTTTCTGGTAACATACCATGTAACAACTCAGAAGTAAATTACTCAGATAAAGAATCAATAATTTTTATTTTAAATATATGGGCTATAAATTTATTTCAAGTGTAGAAAACAAATCATCAAATTAATTTATTGGTTAATATCTTTATCTATGAAAGTATATCAAGACACCAAAATGCCTTTTTGCAAAAGCCAAATGGTAAATTTTATTAAATATACTTACTGCTGGTTTGAGTAGATGTAGAATTTATCAGTACTTGTTCAGATGATCCTGTCTGAAATAAAAATGAACAGGTAAATGATGATATTCCTGACAAAGTCCCCAAATGGCCTTCTTACTGAAAAGTGCTCTTACTTGGTTACTATTGGATTCCAAGGCAACAGAGTCAACACCAATAGATTTTTCTGCAGCTGAGTGGACATGAAGGATCTCTTGGGCTTGACCTACAATAGCCCTCAATTCTTCTACAAATTTTTCTTTCTCATTTTCCAGCACAAAGTTATCTTCAACCTGCCATCAAGTAAAAGCCAATGTATTCATGAGAATACATTCATTTTCTTAAAAATTATAATATTTTAATGGTGAATTCCAAAGGAACACAACAAAGTATGTGCCACAAAAATAATTAAGACTAGTTATAAAAAGATTCATAATGCATTCAATTATTCTGAGATCACTGATAATTGTCAGAAAAAGTCACTATACTTTGAAATATCTTGAATTTATAAATTGGCTGCAATTTCAACTGAACAATGTGCAGAGAATGTGAGACCTTGGAACACTAAGTCCTAAAAAGGTATTCATCAAGTCCCTTTCATCAGAGCTCAGGAAGCAGAAAGATAAGACCTATAAGGAATGGATGACACTAAGGAAACAGTGTTTTACAGAAACAACAGGACTAACACACATAAGAACTAACAGAGATGGTGGCAGCATGCACAGGGCATGCACAGGTCCAAGACAGATGGTATCACAGCACTGAGAGGGGGAAATGGACACAAGCCCATATGACAACCAAGAAGCTATTCCCAATTGACATCCACTTACAAAGGAAAGATTAGTTTTCTCCAACAGTCTCACTGGGTATATCAACCACACTTAAGGGTAGGACCCATACCTAGTAGTAGATAGGCAACACAAAAAACACAATGATATTTTATATCTTTTTTGACCCATATTGCTTTATTTGGGCATTTTTTGTTTTGTTTTGTTTGGAAGACAGGCTCTTTTGACATAATCATGGCTGTCCTAGAATTAACTATGAAGATCAGGTTGACCTCAAACTCACAGATATCAGCCTGCTTCTGCCTTCAAGTGCTGGGATTAAAGACATAAAAGAAAAGCACTATTCCAAGCCTAATTATTCAAATCTATTAAAAAAGTAAATGTGGGTCAGGGTAAATGACTCAGTTGGTAAAGTGCCTTATGTGTAAGAATGGGAACCTGAATTTGACTCTCTAGTATCCATAAAAAAGCCAGGATTGGGGGGCTGGCGAGATGGCTCAGCAGTTAAGAGCATAGACTGCTCTTCCAGAGGTCCTGAGTTCAATTTCCAGCAACCACATGGCAGCTCACAGCCATCTGTAATGAGATCTGGTGCCCCCTTTTGGTGTGCAGGTATACATGGAAGGAATGTTGTATACCTAATAAATAAACAAATAAATCTTTTTTTTAAAAAAAAGAAAAGAAAAAAAGAGAAAAAAAAGTCAGAATTGGTAGTGTGCATCTGTAATCCCTGTGCTGACGACAGGTTTAGGGGTGATGGAGACAGGAAGATTTCTTAAACTCACTGGCTAGCAAGTCTAACTGAATCAATGAGCTCCAGGGTCAGTAAAACACAAAATGAACACAATGATGTTTTATACCTTTTTTTGTCTCACATTTCTGAGTAGGTATGGATGAATGTACCCAAACACATACCTGCACATATATGATATCCATAAACACTACACTCACATTTATCATAAAGAAATAAAGTGGACAGCAGTTGAGGAGGTCACCCAATGTCCTCTGTACTTCATGTACATACCCACACAAACATGTACATACACCACATACAACAATGCACTCACACATTAAAAAAATAAAACTAAATGTACTGAAAAACATACCTTGAATACTTTTGCACAGAATGTTAGATACATTAAAATTATCTAGGTGGCCTGATTCTGATTTAATCAGGAGCCTATGCAATGAGATTATCATTTAAAGCCTATAATATTATCTAAACATACAGTCGGAGATTAAAACACAGCGACCTAAAATACAAACGAAAAATCCCCCAAACCTCATATTTCCTCAGATAACTGCAGTAAAATCAGAGGAAATGCAGTAATTTATCCATGATAATCACTTTTCTCTGTGCAAATTAGAAAAAAAACTACAAAAAATTTAAAAAATAAAATAAAGAAAAAAGAAAAACTATATACATTCTATCATGAGATGGGTGTAAATGAATGAGTGGAGAGAAAACAGAGGGAAAAAACAATTGGGGTGAGAAAAAGGATTGAGAATGATTCCACTAAGGGGAAAAATAGTACTGTCTTACTATACTGACCATATAGTCTGCAATATCTTCAGGTGCATCACCATCGACATCGAACTTGAAAGTAACCATCTTGTTGTTGTGTGTTTCTAGTTGACACTCCACCATGTTGTCTCCAGAGACTGATACCTAAGTACACACATTTAACCAGTTTAAGAGAAGCTGTCTTAGCTGGGGATGGAACACAGTTGGAAGAGTGCTGCCTAGCATGCACAAAGCCCTGAATTCTATCCCCAGCACCACATAAATCAATCATGGTAGTACACACCTGTAATCTCAGTACTTGGGAAGTGAAAGCAGGATTAGAAATTCAAAATTATCCTTGACTATATAGTAAGTTTGAAGTAAGCATAAGCTATTATCAGACTCTGTCTAAAAACAATAAAAATGAAAATAAAATCAAAACATTTGCGGGCAGTGGTGATGCACGTCTTTAATCCCAGCACTTGGGAGGCAAAGACAGGTGGATCTCTGTGAGTTCGAGGTCAGCCTGGTCTACAGAGAAAGTTCCAGGACAGGCCCCAAAGATACAGAGAAATCCTGTCTCAAAAATTCCCCCCTAAAAAAACAAAACAAAAAACAAAACCCAACAACAACAAAAACATTTTATAAGGAGTAACTAGATAAGCTCACATACAATATATTCAGCAACCTAAAGAAAGAATGGGAAAAAGGGTGATTAAATTTTATCTCTGTATAAGGGACTATGTAGTGCAGACATTTAAAATATATTATTCAAATTATTTACTGGTATCAGAAACATGCACATAATATATTGAACTTTCCAAAAGAAGTGATATAAAACTGTATGTAAGTTTTATAATCCTACTGAAACATAATATATGTTTAGAGATACAGGCTTTAAATTCTGATCTGGCTGCAGATCTGACTGAAGCATTTGGTATTTGAATGATTTTATGCAAATTACTTCTCTGGTGTGAGCATCTATATTTGTGAAGATGGGTATACTATTTATCATATAAGGCTTTTGGAGGGTCATGATAATAATAAGTACATAATATCTGGGACACCTACCACAAAATAATTCAATATATTTTTGCTAATATTAATGTCTGCTAATTACGCAAACTATTATAATGTTAAAATGTAAAACACTGCACATACAGATAGAAAAAAGATGAAAACAAACTAAAAATATAGAAGGAATAAGCTCTGATTCACGGTTATAGGGATTTTAAGTTCTTCCTTTTATTTAACCTACAATTTCCAAGTTTAATAACTACAGTGTAATATTCTCATCAGAAATCTTGAATGGAATTTACAGAAGGTTTCACAATATTCTGCATTTACTTCACTGCATTTATAGCACTGTTCCTCCCTGAGTCTCCAAGACTCTAAAACATACACACTGACCTGAAGGACAATAAGCTGAAATTTAGTCCCCTTCTCTGGTCGGGGACAGGAGGCTCTTCTCTGTTTGATCCGATCCTGTTTGCCATTTCCATTTGGGTTATCAGGGTTATTAGTGTTTTCTTTCATAGCTGTCACATCTTGATTCAAGCTAGTGATTTAAAAAAAAAGTAACTCATTCTAATAATGATCATAAAAATCTAAAGAAAATTTTAAGATTATAAAATGATACATTTAAGGAAAATCAACCAATGTAATATCATTATAAGTTATGATTGTATAACTCTGTGAATATACATAAAACCACTGAATTATACAAGTTAAACAGGTGAATTGTATGATAAATTGTATGCTTTTCTTAAACATTTATTTTTATTTTATGTGTGTGGGTGGTAAGCCTGAATGTATATCTGTACACCACATGCATACAGTGCCTACAGAGGCTAGAAGAGAGTATCTGATCCTCTGGGACTGTTGTTAGCCACCAAACAGGTGCTGGCAATTGAAAGAGCAGCCACTACTCTTACCTGCTGAACCATCTCTCCAGTCCAACAAATTATATTTCAATAAAGCTGTTTTTGAAAGTTATAAAAAATGAGATAGCATATATACTTGTTACACGTTTTAATCAAAGGAATAAGAACAAAAGAAAGACAATGGTAATCATAGGCCACTATAAAACCTTTCATTAAGGGGTGTTCCTTTTTTATAATTTAGGAGATACACTTGATTAATTTTTTCTCACTTGTTTAGAGATTATTTTATTAGTATATTCAAATAAAGCTTCTAAATTTTTGTTTGTTTAGAGATTACTGTATTAATATATTCAAATAAAGCTTCTAAAATGAATACACACATTCTTACTCCAAAAAGGGGATAGACCTCAACAAAGAATAAGCAGACTAAGTGTAGGAGATAGGAATAACAAAGGGGGTAAAACAATCAATAAAAATGAATTATATAAAAGTGGTTCAACATGATTAACTGTGACTATTTATAGCTATTTTATAAATTCAAATCAGAAAAAAATACAAAAGACAGTACTAATGAAGTCATGAATCTTAGAAGAGAAACTACAACCACTAATTTACTAAACTAGCATAATCATTAACAGCAACCATAAACATTTGTCCCTATACCCACAGGTAAGTATCGTCTTCACTCTTCATCAAGGAAACTTCTCTTTGCAACAACAGAGCTTACTATAGAAAACCACAACCAATTAAATACAAAGTTGTGGAGCCCAATCCCAATTGATATATCTATAGAACACTCTGACACCTAAGGCTCAAGGAACATTGTAGAATAAGGGAAGAAAAGATTACAAGAGCCAGAGGATCAGGGAGTTTGCAGTGAGATTGTGTCTCCTAGTAATGTCAGAAGCTACACACATAAAGTCTATCAATATGACTACCTAAACATGAACTGAACAATAGATATGCCAAGATGGACTGAGGTGGGGGGAAGGGGGTGACAACGAGCGCTAATGATGCCTCAATTCCAGTTAAAGAACTATAGGTAACTAACAAATGAAGAGAGTTTGAAAAGCAGTCTTCAGAGAAGAGCACATCAACTGAATATCTAATACCAAATGAAAACATACATACACGTAACATTATATAGTTTGAGCAGGTTGCATTTAGAAATATATATGTATATACACATATATAAATACATGCAATAACAAGTTTTTTTTTTTTTTAAAAAGGTCACAATAGGGCTGGAGAGATGGCTCTGCGGTTAAAAGCATTGACTGTTCTTCCAGAGGTCCTGAGTTCAATTCCCAGCAACTACATGGTGGCTCACTACCATCTATAGTGAGATCTGGTGCCCTCTTCTGGGGTGCAGGTATGCATGCATGCAGAGCACTGTACATAATAAATAAATAAATCTTTAAAAATAATAAAAATAAAAAAGGTCACAGACTTGAAAGAGGACATGGAGGGGTATATGGATGGAGGAAAGAACAGAGAAATTATATAATTATATTCTAATCTCAAAAATAAAAAAAAGAATGGAAAATATGAAAGGACAAGCTTTTGCAATCGAATAAAATACATTTTAGCTTTTTCTTTAATAAACTTGAAGTGAATTACTAAATAGATAATTTCCAATGAATACATTTGAAATTAGTAAGTACCAATAGACCTTTCTTTTCCCCCAAACATATCTTTTAAATTATTTTTTTGTGAATCCTTCTAAAAACTCCTCATGAACCATATCTATAGACACATATAAAAAGAGATAAAAACAATAAAAAATTCCTTCTATGTCTTCATGTAAAATAATACACATAGCTGGGCAGTGGTGGCGCACGTCTTTATTCCAGCACTTGGGAGGCAGAGGCAGGTGGATCTCTGAGTTTGAGGCCAGCCTGGTCTACAAGAACTAGTTCCAGGACAGGCTCCAAAGCTACAGAGAAACCCTGTCTTGAAAAACAACAACAACAACAACAACAATAATAATAATACACATAAGTACAAGTAGTATAAGATTACACATTAATGCTCATGGGGCAAAAGACATAACTCAGAGGTTGGGTGCTTGTGTAGCATATACAAGTTCTGGGTTTCATCCTAAGCAAGCCCTTCCAATACAACCTTCTCCTGGAGTTCTTAAAATATAGAGAAGTGACAGCAACAGGTAATAATCATTAGAGGATAAAAAAGATACAATTTTAGCTCATGAAGTAATACTTTACACAATCAAAAGTTTCCTTAAAATATTAGTTTAAGACTAGAGTGCTGGTTCAATGGTAAAAAATACTGCTCTTGCAGAGGACCTGCGATCAATTCCCAGCCCCCACATGTGAAGCCACAGTTCACAACTGTCTTTAATTCTAGTTCCACTGAGTTCAATGCCTTCTTATGACCACTATGGGCAACAGTAAACTTGTGGGGCAAATATATACATGCAGAACACTCATAAGCCTAATAAAATAAATCTAAAATATAGCTTTTGGAACAAGATGACAGAAACTCAACTTTTCTTGCTCATTTCCCCCAAGTACAACTTTAAAAGTTCAATAAATAATAAACTAGACAATCACAGGAGGGAATCAAGACTGAAAAAAAATCAGTCTATATAAGAATCCTAAAGACTTGAAAAACAAACTAACAAACAACAGCAGCTTGACATCTCCCAATTACTTATCCAGTGACAGAAGGTTATCAATCTCAGTCTCATATATCCACAGTACATCCACAAAAGAAACTCAAACCTAATTGTAGGTACCCAGGTTTCTTCCCCTTTTGTTCCTGGCGCTATGCAGGGCCGTTTTACCTCTGGCTTCCTGGCTTCTCTGCTCTTGCACCGCCCTGAGGGTCTAGCTTAGAAAGAACTTGGCCCTCTTTTGTTATGGTAATTCCACCTGCAAGCAAGGATCCCACCGTAGGCCCTATATGTCTACCACAGCAGCTGCTGTCTGGCCTTGGGTGCCGGACACCTGGCATCCTCTTCCCCTGTTCCGGATGGAAGGGGCTATTTTCCCTTTGTCCCCTAGTATACATACCCGACTTGTGTTTAATAAAGTTGCCATTTACTCTTTTGGTGAATGAGCATGGTCTCTTTGTGTTTCAACCCTTAAGATAGTCATCCATTCTCGTGGGCTCGATTCGGGAAAGCGTGCCTGTTTCGGGTGTGGGAATTCACAGAAGTGCAGGCAACACCTAATATCTCCTGACTCTAGCCCATTAGCCAAAGACAGATTCCTTCCTTCCTAGGAGAACTGGGAAGAGTCTCATCAACAGAATATGGACTAGATTTCCAAGAGGAAAACTCTACCCTTTGGTACCATGGTAGTACCCAATGGTGTCAGGTGAACAAAGCAGACCAGAATAGTACAAGGACTCTAAATCTAAATTTTCATTGGAAACAAAGCCTGTTAAAGAGTGAGTCAGAACACATGCACCTAAACACAGGGAATGTTTACAAAAACAGAAGATTTAATTAGAATCTATACTATCCTAACAATGCCTAAAATATAGAAATAAAAATCAAATTCTAGTCTTACCAAAAGCCAAACAAATTAAAAAACAAATACCCAGGAAAATCATAACTTGAATGCAGAAAGACAATCAACAGACATAAACTTTTACGATAACTCATACATTGAAATTGTCAGACAAGTCATAATCAAAATGATTCAGTGGACTTGAGTGCAGCCCAGTGATAGAGCACTTGTTTAGTATGCACAAAGCCCTGGGTTTAGTCCCCAATGCAAAAGAAAAAGAAATTTAAAAAAGTGGAAAGGGAAGACAACTTCAGCAAAAGACTGAGTGGTAATGTGCTCATGTAGCATGTGGAAGGACCCAGTAATGAAAAGAATAAAAACAAAACAAAACTTCAACAGGCAACTGCAACTGAAGCAAATGAGAAAAATAAAGTCAACGAGAAATAGAAGATTAAAAAAGAATCAAATGGAAATTATAGGACTAAACATAGAATCACAGAAATAAAAGTTCACCGAATGGAGCAGCTTGAGCTGTGGCTCAGTGGCTAGGAGCGCCTAACGCTCTGCTCTAGTGCCAGAGGACCCAGGTTCGAGTCTCTTTCAACTGCTAGTGATCGATCAGCGATCAATATGGAATCATATTGATCAACGATCAATATGGAATCGCTATCGATTAATAATCAGAAAAAAAGTTCACTGAATGGGAAAAATGGTAGAATATACAAGACATAGAAAAGAATCAATAAATTTGAAAAAATAATAGAAATTACCCAATTTGAATAATATATAGAAAATATTATCTTCAAACTACCAATAATGCAATTATTTATCTTGTTATGTTTTATTTTGTGAGATTAGCTGAAATCTTAATTTACATAATTTTTCATTTACTTTGTTGATTAGAATACTATAAGCAATATAAAATATGGTCAATAATTTAACAATTTATATGATCACTAAATACTTAAGGAATAAAATTCATCACAATTTTATCAATCTTATACAAATACAAGAATAAAAGATTACTTTATTCAAGGGACTTTAAGCATACAATGATATGTGTTAGCATGCTACCACTGATTTCTAGGTACGAAGATGATGGATGATACTTACCTTCGAACAAAATCTGGATTTTGAAGAGCTGCTTGTTGTTCAGCTCCTACTGGTTGGGACACAGGCTGTAAAGGGAGCAGTAATAACACCTATTATGGTAACAGCAAAGTTTACGCTAAGACATAATTTGCTACTTCAAAAAACCTCACTGTTACATTTCATTTTTTAACTTTGTAAATAATGTAAAATGTCTTTATTATCCAATGCCTATATCAATCCTAAATCTGACATTAATACATCAAGTATCTCTTACTCAAGGCTTTGTCATTAAAAGTTAACAGTGTTTTGGCAGGTGTGGTGGTGCACTCCTTTTTTTTTTTTCCAAGCAAGCATCTTTTAATCTTGCAGAGCTATCCATCTGGCACTCTCAAAAGATTCAGAAAGTTGGACCTTCCTAAACCTTTCCTACACCGTAAGTAGCACACGGAGAGACCAAGCCACCACAGAAACAGACTGTGGTGGCCAGAGTCCCTCTTTCAATCTCCAAGTGACCTGGGGCAACCCAGAAGTTATATAAACAGTGGGTACCACATGTGTCATGGCAGTCCTGAGGCTGGGTGCACTCCTTTTAATCTCAGCACTCCAAAGGTGGATCTTTCTGAGTTGGAGATCAGCCTGGTGTATAAAATGAGTTTCAGGCCAGTCAAACTATACAGTGAGATCCTGTCTTAAAAAACAATAAATAAATACCACTTAACACTTTTAATTCTTGTTTTATTATCTATCACAGAGAACAGATGAATCCTGAGTAACTGCAATTGCATAAGAAAATAAATCAATGAATAAAATGCCCTTTAATTAAAGAAGGCAAATATCAATCCCACTAAAAAACAATTATAAACATTTATGGAATCTATTCTTTATGAATTGTCATTAGCAACAGAAAATCATATTAAAATGTAAATCTAACAAAAATAATTATTCCTTTCACAAACTTCCTATGATGACTCTTCATGTTCTAAAAGACTGAGTTCCTTCAGAGGGTAAATAAATTCCTCAGTGAATGGGTTCTTTCCTGGCTCTCTAGTTTCGCATCTCTTCTTTAAGCCACACTAGACTGGAAATCCTTTCCATGAGTTGAGTTCTTCCATACAATATGACTCCACTCACATTCCTCTACTTCCCCACCCTATTTTCAATCCCACCTTAGTCCTGTTCATTTATAACATACTTGGACAAACTCTCTATACAACTATATATACAATATATACATCTATGCTATATACATTCATATGTACATAAAAAATGTAGATATAAGGCTCTTTAACAGTGGCTTCCAGAAACAAACCAGTAAAATTGCTCATATCTTAGTTTCTATTATAAGTTAGTAAAGATAGAAATACTTTGGAGAAATTGCTATTTCCAACGCTGGACTTAAAAGATGAACTTTACTGTGGCAAAAAGAAAAAAAAACTCAGAGTGATAGGGTAATATCACAAAAGTAAAACAAAGGACCAACAATGCCCAAATCTTGAACAATTTTGTGTCAAAATAAGTAATAAGAGTATAGTCTATTCAATAAATGAGTTCACACTAATATGAACAACAAACAAATAAGGAAAAGGCATTTCTAACTGTAAAAGGTAATTAATGAATACAAGAAGAGATGTGGAAAAATCATAAAGGTATGCTAAAACTAGTAAAAGTTAAATGGATAACAATGTAATTACATGGTTTCAAAATGTGTCCTTACTTTTTAACTACAAAGGCAAAAGTGGTAACTTTACAGCAGCAAGGATTTAGAAAACCCCATATTAATCACATGTTCAAATTTAATCCGCTGATGTTCAGACAAACCAATATGATGTAGAAAGAATAATATAACCAACCACACTTACATGATATTTCTGACCAAAAAAATTTTTAGCTTGAAGAGGATGATTTAGACAGAATCAAACCAAAGGATATTCTACAAAATAATAAGTCTTCATTCTTAAGAAAGATCAAAGGAATGAAAGATAAAGGCTTGAGGAACTAGTCTAGGTTAAAGGAAACAAAAGAGACTAAAACAAATGTAATATGTGTTTGTAAATTGAATCAAGGTTGGAGAACTTGCCAATAAATACACTATCTCAACAACAATTGAAATTATATGAATACAGTATGTATGTACATGCATGTTGACCTGTGTAGGCACACATGTACGTAAGTGTGGAAGCCTAAGTTGATGTCATCGATCTTCCTTACATTGAGTCAGGGTCTCAAACTGAGCCCAGAACTTGTAGATTTGGCTAGTCTAGGTAGGTAGCTTGTTCTAGGAATTCTGTCTTCAATACCAAGCTCTGGAATTACAGATGAGCAGCTGAAGATGCGACATTCTCTGGTAGAGAAAACAAGGTATAACTGAACTGGAAGTTCCCTCTGTGCTGGTTACCTTACATAGAGCTGCAAGGAACTATGCAGCTGCTGGAAGAGAACAGTCATTAATAGTCTCACGTCGTAGAATATCCTTCATTTTGAACTTGTATGTCACACTGATGAATGCCATGAAAGACATGGCAAAAGGTGTAAGAGTGGCATGTTTATTATGGGGTGTAACCAACAGCTGTCTGATTGGATTTGAGGACCACACCACAATAAGAAAATCACGTTTGGTACTCAAAACCTATTCAGAAGCCCACGGCTGGGAAAGTCACATAGTGGGAAAGTTACTTCTGTTGTTTTGCTAACTGGACATGATGTACCCGTCAAATTGCCATCTAAATATTTATGTTGATACCCAAAAATCATTGTCATAGTCAGTTTCAGTCAGACAGGCCAATTTTTGCAGTGGGTGGTAGTTACTACAAAGACTTATAACTGGAGAGAATGCTCACAATAACTGACTACTGAAAACTGAGCCCAAAATCATCCACCTGTATTACCCTCTTCAAGGCTCAGAGAACACTGTAGAAGAAGGGGCAGAAAAATGTAAGAAATAATAACTGAAGTATTGCAGAATGCTTTCTTCCCAACAACCAAGGCCCTTGTACTCTTTATACTATCAAGAATGAAAATGGGATAAAAAAGGGTTGTGGATGGAGGAGCAGTGTGTATAAATACATTATACACACATATGAAAACGTCCAAATGAGAATCCTTTTATATATATGTTACATGCTAATGAAAAACTAAAAAGAGATGGGAAGTTGGCTCAGCAAAAAGCCATGTGCTACCAGGCCTGATGAACTAAATTTAATCCCTACAACTCACATGGTAGAGGGAGAGAACCAATATACTCATAAGCTGTCCTCTGACTTCCACAGGTATCCACTGTTGTGTATACCCCTCACCCCCCCAAATTAATGTAATTAAAGTTTTTATACTAGAAAAAGGGATTGATGAAGAAAGAGATATTTATAAAATTTTTAACACTCTTCCCATAAATAAGTAATAAACTACAAAGGGATAAATGGGTTAAAAAGCCTGAAAAGCCCCTCTTGAACCCCATAATAGAGCTTAATCTCACGAATACTCAAATAAACTGACTCCTTGAATATGATACAATGAAAAGAATTCCACATCAGTTACATTTCACAGACATTCTTAAACACACACATGTAAACACACACACACACACACACACACACAGAGAGAGAGAGAGAGAGAGAGAGAGAGAGAGAGAGCACATCTGACCTCCAGTTTTCAACACTGTCAAGGGGGAAGCAGATCACTGGTAGAGAACTCTGTGTTTAAAACCTACTTACCCCAATGAGTCTGGGACCTCAGAGGGAGTAGGCCTGAGCCAGAACCTCTGTGGGTCCGGGCATTGGTCTGGAACATCAAAGGGAAAAGGCAGGAACCTGAAACCTCTGCTGGTCTGAGAGTGAGTCTGGGACCTCTGAGGGAGTAAGCCTGAGCCAGGTCCTCTGCAGGTCTGGGCACACCTGAGACTGGGAACTCCAAGGGAGTAGACTAGAGCCAGAGACCTTTGCAGGACCAACTCCACGCCAGGGACTTCTGCAGGAGGGGATCCAGACCAGGATTTACAGAAGCAGGTCAAAGCCTGTAACCTAGGTCAAAGTAGGCCTCAGACAGCAAACTCCAAGGGAGCAGAGCAAAGCACAGGAGTGCTGAGCTATCTCCAGGAACATGGAGTAACCAACAGGGTAACTAGAACTGAGGCACTGACTGTACTACAATGAACAACCATCTGAGCTTTGGATTCACTGGCACCTAGATGATCAATCAACAGAATCTCAGACAGCCCCAACCACACCTATTAGAGGAAAAGATGAGTAGAAAAGGTAAGAACACACACAACACCACAAAGAGCAACACAACATCAGTAAAACATAAAGACACTACAACAGCAAGACTTGAACAACCAAATATAGATGATGAAGAAGAAATTGACCTAAAAAAAGTCAGGAGAACATTTGAAACTCTTAAAGAGAAAAATGAGAAATTCCTTCAAAGAAATGGAGGAAAGGACAAACAAAAAAATTGGACATCAGCAAATCCCTTAAAGAAAAACATAAAAAAAAGCAATCAAACATATGAAAAAAACTATTCAAGACTTGAAAACTGAAATAGAAACAATAATGAAAACAACCTGAGGGAATTATAGAAACAGAAATCATGAGAAAACGATCAGGAACCACAAACACAAGCATGAACAGCAGAATACAAGAGATGGAAGAGAGAATCTAAAGCGCTGAAGATGCAATGGAGGAAATAGACTCATCAATTAAAGAAAACATTAAATCTAACAATAGCTTAACCCAAAATATCCAGAAAATATGGGACACTATGAAAAGGACAAATCTAAGAATAATAGGTATAGAAGAAGGAAAAGTTCAACTCAAAAGCACAGAAAATATATTTAGTAAAATATATTTCATAGAAGAAAACTTTCTCAACCTAAAGAACTATATGCCTATGAAGATACAAGAAGTTTACAGAACACCAAATAGACTAGATAAAAAAAAAAGGTCCCCTTGCCACATAATAATCAAAACACTAAACATACAGAGTAAAGAAAGAATATTAAGAGCTGCAAAGGAAAAGGGCCAAGTACATATAAAGGTAGACCTATCAGAATTACACCTGACTTCTCATTGGAGACAATGAAAGCCAGAAGGTC